GGTGGACCTCAGTGGTTGAACTCTGGACATAAGTATTAGGACACCTGGTCTGTATGAAGAGAATGTGATGTTTCGTAGAGGTTATATATCTTGGGCCACGTTTATTACTTCATAAACGTTATCCATCGAGCTTCAACCTTTAGACTCCCAAAGGTACCCCTTTTATATGTGTATATTTGTACACAAATGTTTCTGTCAAAAATGTCCACTTATTTTTTATGAGAAATGTCAATTTAGTCAGTAATTTCGTACTTCATTGTGACATTTACCGGATATTCGACAAGTGTGTCCTAATACTTATGAATAGTAGTGTGCTGAAGACAGTTAGCCTCTATTTGGTTTATCAAAAACACAATCGTGTTTTTTTTTTTGGAATACAATTTTCGAAAATATCCCGCGAAACCGTTCGTGTCCCTGGGATATGTATGCAGTTCATTCACACGGCTGTGTGTCTTGCTAAATATAATATGGCGGTGACCCCAGTCCTCCACCGTCGACTCCCCCCTGCCCCTGAGGTCCCTCGATTCCCCACTACTCCCTCGGATGCTTCCCTAATTCAACGCCCCTGTGATTACGTCTCTGCCCCCGCGCGTCTCCCTGTCCAGGTTATAGCTGCTTCCCTTCCTTCCACTTCACATCTATTCCCTTCTCTTCCTTTCTCTTCGGTTCGCTCAACTTCCTGCCTTTTTTTTCCTTCTCCGTGTCTCTTTCTCTTGCAGTTTTCTATTCTACTGGGAAGAAAAACGGAGCTAGAAGAGAGGGGGGCAGGCCAGCGGCGAGATCCTCTTATCTTTCCTATTTTTACAGTTCTCGTGACTCTTACTCCCTGTGTAACTCATCCACCCTCTTGGCCCCATACGCTCGGTATTGTCTTTGTCCAATGTGCACACAATCGTGCAGGTCTGAAAGAACTGTCGGATGTATCACTTAATTGCGTCCAGCTAGGTGGAAACTCGTACGACTCGATGTATGAAGTTTTACTTGACCAGTAACTAAAGTTATCCTTTGTTTCTTGTCGTAGGTGGAGAGGCCAGGGGGACAATCGCCGGCTAATCGAGCCGGGGGGAAGACTGGAGCTTCTCGGTGCTGCTGCTGCTGCCTCGTGTCCAGACCTTTAAGACTCGTTCACAGCGAGCGAGCGATCCTCTCGATGAAACATTAGAATCGTTCTCACCGTCTGTGCAGAGTAGTAATGGATGATGCAGTATCGATATTTCGAATATCGATACTTTTCAATTCAAGTATTGATATTGTCTATCGGTATTTAATGTAACGATATACATTCCAGTATCGGTACTTGACAGATAAATATCGAAATTTCGATACAATTTCTGCATTTGCCCTAACGTAACAGGTTGCGCAAGAAAAATAGACCAATCGCGAGCTTTCCATAAAATTTGCGATTGGTCGATTTCTTCTGCACACTGTTACCTGAGAATATTTGTCCCTAGTAAATATTAACTTAAATAAATGATTCATTTTCATTTTTCCGATTTTCGTTAGTTCTAATTTAAGTTAAAGTATCGATACCGATAATATGGATATTTTATTCCCGATGCACATGTGTGTACCGATACTCTGGGTATCAATACGTATCGATAGAATTCAAATGTGTCACCATGGCTAGTACAGACAGAAAAATAGAAAACATTGCTGTGATCACTGTCCATTAAGGCCCACGATCGATACCGGCGAGAGATCGACCACAGTAAAAATGATGTTCAATAGCGTTAATATATGGCACGCTTCAGGTGCTGATGGCTCAAAAGTCAAGCGAAGATAATTGGAACGTACAGGGGAGGAAAGGTCTAGGCTGCGTGCCGTAATCGGTCAGTTGGAAACGGTGCCTAACATCCCTTAGGGCCGCCGGCGCGAGAATAGCCGCGCGCACACTGAGGCCATTCAACTGTCTACAGAGCAAGCGAGCGAGCGAGCAGCCAAGGGGATTTTTACAACGCCCGGAGTCTACCTACTCTATCCCCGCACTCTTGTACTCTTCTTGCTCTTCTTCTTCTTCTTCTTCCTCCTCCTCCTCCTCTTTCTCCTCCTCGTCGTCGTCGTCGTGGTCTTCTTGTTTCTTGCTGGATCCCTCTTTTTCTGTGCCCTTCTGATCTCTACACCGGCAGCGGCGTGGCCAGCCAGGGACCATGCGTGAGAAACTCTCCACCGTGGGCAACCCTTGCGAATCAGAACCGAAACTTTCTCATTGATGAAGAATGTCGGCCCTCTGGTGTATACCTTGAACTAGGGCTATACTCCCTGATCAGGATTACATCTCAATCCGTCTGTCTGATGGTACCATGGTGGGGTATGGGACACAATGAGGGTGCAGTAACTGGAAGAATAAAAAAAACACATAAACATAGTGATGGGCAATACAGTATCAATATTTTGAATATCGATATTTTGAGCATCGATACTTTTCAATTCGATTATCGATACTTAACCTATAAATATCGAAATTTCGATACAATTCAAATGTATCGCCATCACTACATACACGTAGTATACTACTCTAATTGTGCAAAAGTTGATGATGTCTGAAATTGTCTTTTGTTCAGTTTCAGATACAGTGATTCTATGTAGTCTTCGTACCTGGAGAAGAAGAAGAAGAAGAAGCGGAAGAGCATCGTGGACTTAGCCAGAGAGATAGCGGTTATATCAGCTATACTTGATGATACTAACCCGTAGATCCGAACTTGTGGGCTTTCTTATATGTATACCGCAAGCTCCTATCTACCGGTACATGTAGTCAGGCCAGCATTTAAGCTTTCTCGACGGAACCTCTTCCTTCTCCTTGAAAAACCTCTCTGCCCTCCTGAATACCCGCGACGGCCACTTCCGGTTTATCGACGGATCTAGAGCTCTTCTCGTTCAGGTCTTTCCATTTTTCAGAGAGTGATCTGTGTCCTCCTCTACGCGACCTCGAATTCCATATGACTGGAGATGGCTATTGAGGATTCTTCTAATTAATAATTTCATTGCTTCTGTTGCAAACAATCCATGGTCTAATTATGGCATAATATAATAGAACAGTAGAGCTCCATTTAAATGAAATTTTCTCCCACCACCAACCCTGGTGATCATCTTGTTGCTTTATGAGTTCAAGTAAAATGGAGTTCTACTGTGATACTTGGCAAGTGATACCAGTTTTGTAACGCGGCTAACCTAAATGCTCGTTGTTCAGAGCGTTAAAAGCATACTGCGTACATGGCCCGAAACGATTAGTACGAAGAAGAGGATATTAGCGACGACGCCTGGGTGAGGTAGTAGGTTGTATAGTAGGGAATAGAAATTCGCGAGATACGAAGTCCACTGTACAACTTGCTAACTTTCCCGGTCGTCGACGCCTCAACGGTTCATCGTCCCGAGGATGATTGTCATCGAGAAGACACGGAGAAACGGCCCGTTATGTCGACGTGATCTCGCGAGATGTGATAGCGTGGAAACGGTTGAAAGGAAGAATTAAGGTGATCTACCACCATAAATCTTCTTTGGTTCACACTTGAGTCTCGAAACTGTTGAGTGTTTTGTCATTCGTCCATGTAAATCGTACACTAAGCTGCGGACACACGAGATCTGATAGTGATGGCGATACATTTGAATTGTATCGATATTTGCTATCGATACGTATTGATACACAGAGTATCGATACACGCATGTATATCGGCAATAAAGTATTGATATTATCGGGATAACGATACTTGCAATTAAATTAGAAGTAATGAAAATCCAAAAATGAAAATAAATCATTTATTTAAGCAGATATTTACTAAGACAAATTCCTCTTGGGTAACAGTGTACGCAAGAAATCGATCAATCGTAATCTTTATGGGAAGCTCGCGATTGGTCTATTTTCCTTACGGTAAATGCGCAGTGATTGTATCGAAATTGTCGATATTTATGGGTTAAGTATCGATATTGGAATGTATATCTTGACATTAAGTATCGATACAAAATATCAATATTTGAATTGAAAAGTATCGATATTCGAAATATTGTTACTGTATCGCCAAACACTAATGCTATCTCGTAAAATCATACCTTTTGTGGTTCGAATGATCTTCTAAATCCAAATTCATCCCTCACTAGGGCTATTTACATAATGCCCTGAAAAGAAAAAAGAAAAAGCTTTGGTTCCAATCACGAATTTTCCTTGTTAGTATCGCGATCGCAGAACGATGACGGGTCGAATACATGTTCGATGCAAGATGTAACGTTTTAAAACCACGAAAAGGCTCTGGTTATGAGATCGCAAAAAGGAGGGTACACGGTGGTGGATCCTCTTAGGGAGAATGACAGAAAAAACGATCGAGAATGTAAGATTGCGTGCACGAATCGGTGTGTGCGTGTGTGTGTGTCTGGTTGGTGATGAGAGGGTGAACGGGAGCAAATGAAAATGAAAGAAAAAAAGGCAATGGCGGGCGGGCTGATTGTAAAGCCTGCCGCGTCGCCGGTCCCCTGAGACCCTAACTTGTGACGTCGCGACCGATATCTCACAGGCTAGATTCTCTGGTATTGGCGATAAGTGCTGCCTTTTGCCGATCAAAAGTCAGTCCTACCATCAGAGATAAAAAAAATAAAAGAACGGCCGGATACGTCGACGCTCCCTTTAAACGACGACGAAGTCGAGGAGACTCGATATATTTCGAAGGTTCTTTCCTCCGCTGCGCGTGCACTGCATCTTGGAAAAATTATAAAGTTTCACGAAAAGAATACAGAATGATTCAAACCTGAAAATCTGCGGTGTGTCCCTATTTTACTCTCTATATTCTGAGCAAATAATTACAAATACATTACGATCGAGCATAAAACAATTTACCTGTGTTTTGTCACGTGTTTCCCTAGCGACAGATTTCGGAACTACATACATACGTATCGGAAACGGTAACAAAAATTGTCACTTTATCGACGTTACTTCTCGTAGAAAGAAAGAACAATTTAGTACATACACTTGAACGGGAGAAAGGATAAATAATTAAAGGAAATATAACTGATTTTTGTATTAACCTGTATATTTCGATGTACATTCGATTGTCTCAACAGTAACCGTATAATTTCCACTGGATATATACAATGGTCGATGCAAAATACTCTGGAAGTACGATAAAGATCGCAGCAACAATAGAAAAATATCGGATCAGAAATATCTTCTGCCCTCCTCTACCAACCGACTCAACTCAGCGGCTGAATAGCCTAAAACTTGCTTCAGATCACACACAAATTTGTACACGAATCTCTTTCCATGAACTTTGGAGATCATGTCCCCGTCGTAGTAATAACGTAGTGCCCTGCTCAGTTTTTCATAATTCATAGAAGGTTTATTCTTTCTAGCTCCCCAGAGCTGAGCAACGGCTTCTGGTTGGTTTAACTTGAACTCCCCCTCGGCTCCCACCCACTGAATAGCTCCTCTGTGTTCTCGATCGGTCAACAGCTCTAATAGAAATTGCCACAATTGTATTTGGCCGCTGTTGACCGAACGGCTGGAGGTTGCTATCGCAATCGGCGTGGTATCGATAGTGTCGATAGGGACTGTGACCACACGCGCCTGCTGATTCACCACAGGTCTTGTTTTCGTAGCTTTCTGACTTCGAACTTTCATGGACTTGTCTACGTTATTCTCTGTTGGAGACTCTGGTGGATCTTTCTGCACGACAGCTGCGAGAACGTATTCAGTAAGATTATTCGTGAAATAAATGACTGATGAATAGATTCGTGCAACGAGTTAAAAACATACCAACGAATTTACATTTCCGAAGCAATTCTAAATGAGTCCAGAATACCTCTCCTGGATCAAGAGGCACTTTAGTCTGAAACTCCTCGAGCGTAAGATTACACAACTGTTGGCCTGTAATATTCCAGTCAGCTAGTCTCACAGAAGCCAAATTAAACTGTCTAACCGCCCACTGAAGCCAATGTCTTACATGGGTCTGTGTCCATTCCTTCGGATCGGCGGGGATTTTTAAACGTTCCTGTAATTCATTTCTGCATAAGATTTCGGTTGAAACTATCTAAACCTGTTCTTGTCAAAGAATTTACCTGTTCTTTCTTGTATTGTGGATCAACCATCCATCTTATAACATTTCTTTTACTGTCTTCATTAACTGGTGTAGCTGCTGACAAACCAAATCTGTCGTAATTAAATTCAAACAATAGAATATAATATATATTAATACGTACTGCTATTCTCTGCCAATTCAATGTAATCTTCTGCAGGCTTCAGAACATCCACTATGTTGATACGTCTTTGTGTTGCTTTTATTTGGACATTCACTTGGACCAGTCCTTCCCCTTGCACACATTGATCCACCAAATTTTTATGACTCTCTAACTAGGGGAACATGTACGAGTAGAACAATAATATCATCAAACATAAAACATACATTGTGCATTTGTTTACCATCTGAGCATCTTGCAACCAAAATGAATAGTCTGTTAATTCAACTCCTAATCTTTGTTCCAACAAGTTTCTCAGTGTAGATAGAGGCTCTCGTATGTCCATGTGTTGCATTAGAACACCCTCATTGCAATCGTCTCCGTTTGCGGTGCCTTCTAAGGCAAAGCTAGGTTCTACTTCCAAATCGGAGCTCTCCTGTTGCAGTTGAGCCATTATATCATCTTCCTGCGACAACATAGCTTCGGGTTCCATTTTGATGCGTTTTATCATGGCATAATCAGAATCATCGTCCGTGTCGAAGCTGCGCAACCAAACAAAACAAAATTTAACGGAATAAAAGCGTGCGTTTCATTGGTGCGGATAATTGTTCCGAAAAGACTGACCTTTTATCGGAACTCTTCCGTCTGCTCTCTAGATCCATGAGAACCCGATGCAACCGTAAAGCTCCGATAGGCGAAACTGAGCTCGATTTTAACCTCCGCACGCATATGAGCTTTCAGTCTACAAAACTCGCGGACATTTTGTAACAGGTGCATAACCGAAGAGTGAAAAACACATAGATGCGCTAACGCCTTCGAACGATGACGTCTACCTCGTTAAATGTAATTCAAGGCCAGAGATTGTATTCAAACTTTTCAATCCTACATACTTTCAAGTGTGTATTTATGTGTCAAAAGTTCATGTTAAAATTCGAATTATGTTTTTTTATAAAGTATATTCTTATTAAAGATTCGATTCCACGTACGTCGATCTCACACACATAGGGTCTCTTACGTATGCCCGGGGATTCTATGACCTCACTTTCTCACGCACAGGTGGCACCATCCGTGACAAAACGCTCAAACTGGTAAACACATATTACCGACAGGTAAGTGGACCTACTCGATGGTCTCACCATCTAGCGTCAAAAATTGATACTAATTGGCTAGTAGCTTGAGTGTTTTGCCGTAGAGGGCGCTAATAAACATTTCTATTGTCTTTCCCCCTCCATTATGTACCTGTGATATCTAATTCAAACGATTTTATTCTCTTATTTATGAAAGGAAAAGAAAAATTGACGCTAAGACAGTATGAAAAATAAAAGAGATTATGGGAAGAATTTACAATTGCTTAATTTCGTTTTGTGTATAATATTTATTTCAACATACACATGCGATGTGTGAAAGAAAAGAACGTTACTGTATACAAAATATTATTGATTTAATTAGTTTAATCTTACGTACTTATAATTACGTAATTTTATGTACAATTTACCATTGTATGGTGTGTTTATTAACACAAACTTGCCGACACTCAGGCTCAGCAGTAAGTTTGTAGTTTAAAAATGATCTCAATGATTGATCGTGTTAAGAACAGATTGATGTCCTCCGTGATAAAATAAAAAATAATTATAATACTTGTAACGATTAGCTATGGTGATGTCCATGCTGTGTTGCTTTCGTTGTCAAGAAATACCATTTTGGGATACAGAAGGTGCCTTACACCTAAAGTAGCTGTAAAATGGGTGTTTTCAAGGCGTGATATACTATCTGGACAGTTCCAACAGAATTGTGACAAAATAAACAAAAAACAGATATCACAAATACACAAAAAACATAATATATAGCCGTGTATCAACGCAGCTGTACATTTTAAATGCAATATTTACCATTTTTAAATTAGTACAATACAGAACATATTACGATTACGTGATTTTAGTTATAAATTCTGTAGTAATCGAAATACTATTCTGTTGTAACTATGAGACTGGTTTATACAATTTGTACAGAAAGTTCTGTCATTATAGCGGTCAGTAGTTTTTTTTTTTTCGATATTTGCAATTTCAATAACTCTATTATGCTAAACATTCTCTTCTCTGCTGCACGAATTTTACTCAGATAAGTACAGAGAAATCAACTGATTTAGAGAAACGTATCAATACTCGAGAGACTAGCTGTTGTGATGTTTCAGGTCATACTTATTATTTACCCAAATAATCTAAAGTACCTAGTAATAATAAATTTAAAAATTAAATAGAATTAAAGTATTTTTTTTAATGCTACTTTCAACGAAAAGTTGTTCATTTCCTCTACTAAAGTCAGTACAGACTGTCCCGAGAAATTCGGTATACCCGCGATAGCGCCGTGTGCCAACAGTACTTGCGCCACCGATATGTGATTTTGTTCGAGAGCATGAAAGAAGGCGGTTCTTCCCGAACGATTATCTTTTAAGTTTACGTTGACACTAGTTTTCAATAAAGCGTTGACTCCCTCCAAATTATCGTACAGTGCACAATAGTGTAACGGAGCGAAACCTATGTAAACATATTAGAAAATGAGTTAATAAATTAATTAATACGAACCGATTTTTTTACATCACGAATCTATATTCGATACTCACCTATAGAGTCTACCTTATTCAATAGGACACAATTTTCAACATGTTGTAACAGCATAGGCAATAAAGGAGAGGACAATTTACTAGCTATGATTATTGCAGATTCGTGTATGGGTTCTAATGAAACTGGCTTTGCTCCAGTTTCCAATAACAGCTGCACTATTTCTTTAGATGCATTAGACTTGACTGCTAACTCCAAACATGTCTGGAATAAAAATTACACTTTAGTTATTGAATTCTCATTGTGGTAGATTAAATAAATTTAACGAGCTTACCATTCCATCGTTAGTTAATACATCAATGCTCATTTTAGATGCTTTTAACACAAATAATAGTCTTTGTACTTCGTGAAGATTATCATCCACCACCGCTCTATGTATACTAAGCATTCCATCACTGTCCCACCGATGCATTGATTCAAAATCATTTTTTAACTGCGAACTAACTTTTTTGAACAATGGATGTGGCGTTGCTAACATTTGTTTGACTCTATTGGCATCTTCGTTTCCATTGAACAACTTACTTAGGTTATCCTCGATTTCGCTGAGATCATCTTCGAAAGGCAGTGAACACATTTCTGGTAAAAGGTAATCGTTATCGATATTATTATAGTATGTTACGGTAGGTTTTGGCGATGTGTTTATGTTAATCATCGGATTTGCCGCAGACTGCTCCGTTTGTTTTATTCTTTGTAAAGTAGGCATGTCTTCCTTTACTAGAACGAAACTTTTTGAATCTAGAAGCCCAAAAACATCAGTTTGAATCTGAGAATCATGTACCGTTTTCAAGATTTCAGGCGGAGTAATCGGAATATGCTTTGCTATGCCTATACCACAATCCGCGAGAGCTTGTAATGCCTTAGCTCGAAGTTCTTCGTCTTTCACGCTGATTAACGCTTCTTTGATTATATTCCAGTTGTCCTGTTTCTGTTGTTTCGCCTCATTACTGTCTATGTCTTTACCATTATTTGTACTACTAACCGTACTTTCAGAGGTCGGATATACATTATTAAATGTAGACAATGAATTGCAGTCTTTTCCCTGAGAATGATCAATGTCTTCACCATGAATTGTATTCTCCAAATTCAGTTTGTTTCGATGATTAATCTGAGTAATTGTCTCGCGTGCTACTTGCACTCCAAAATCTCTTGTATTCATTGGAGTATTTTCGTTTAGATCTGTACTACTGGAAAGTCTTGTAGTGTTTAAATTTTTGTTACTTTCATCACTCCCCTCAATGATCTTGCTGTCAGAAACAGAATTTTGTTTGTTACTGTCCATTACAGCAACACCTTTATCTATGTTGTTAATATTAACTCTGTTGTTCGGTAGTGTAAGCTTTTCACACTTTATTACAGGAAATTTCGATTGTACTAAAGGCAAATGCTCCTTAAACTTATTGCTATTCAATGCAGTCTTCAACACCGGTTCTTCTGGCCTATTTTCTAGTTTGGTGAGTTTCAATGATAATGGATTCACTTTTCTTATAGGTATTTCTAATGTGTTAATTTTCAGTGTAGGTCTCTTTAAGACACTGACGTTTGCTGTCGATGTTTCTAATGCACTCTCTTTTGGTACAGACTCCTTTGCACCATTAAAATCGCCATTCTTCTTTGTCAGTAAATTTGAACTGTTTACCATGTTTGGTGGTATTATGATCTTATTCTTCTGTACTTTCACATACTTTGGAATACCATTATTTGTTGCTTGAATATTGTGTACACAATCGCAATGATTCTTGCTTGATACAAATACTTTTTTATCCTGTGCATTATCATTCAAGCTAATATTATTTAAAGGTATAGTTAAAGTAGATGGATTCTGGACTAGTTTCTTTCTTAAATTTTCTGCATTACATTTCTCATTATTAATATCGAGAAGTATCTTCTTGGAAGAAAATGGAATTTCCTGTGTCTGTGGTGATTTATCTGCTTTTCTCGAAGATTCAAATGAAAGTGTTACAGGCATGTTCACTTTATTGTTTACATTCAATTTTTTATAAGCAACAGTTTTGTCTAATAAGTCTGGAGACAAAAGTTTCAGCTTAACTTCCCCTAGATCTTTGCCATTCTGTGTCATTATCCTTATTTTTTTTACATTGTTTGTCATTAACATTTCCCTGCTTGATACACTATTTAAATTCTTAGGTGCAAACAAATTACATATTGGTTTCATATACATCACCTTGCTGGGAAATTGTTGTGGCAATGTAAATTCCCGTCTGCATTCTAACAGTGGAATGTCAATGTCCTTAACTGTTAATTTGCGCAACTTCTTAGCTGGGGGTGGAGACACTGAATCCATTTGAGAATGGCACTCCTCCAAAACCTCACAATCAAATGATAAAACTTGTGGGGCCGCGGAAAGGTAGGGAATCACAGAATTCACGTTGCTATATTTTGGAGTATTGTGTCTGTAACCTGCAACCAAGTGAACAATTTATTATCAGTTTATATATTCCATGTACGCGTTACATATCTATCTTTGCGCGTATTATAAATAATAGTAGTATTTCAAACCATTGAAATCATGATTCGTTTGAAAATTAGAAACGTGAACCAATATTGTTTCAAAATCACAATAGGAATCACCGCGAAATGTTTTGCGAAACGGGACATCCCTATGTGGGGAATACATTGCTGCCTATATAGCAAAGTGAAATACTTAAACATAGTTCTTATCCCTAGAAGAATCTAAAATTAACTTTCATTGAATAATTACTGTAGCCAGTTCCAAGATAGGACAATTATTTTTTATGTATAAGTTACGTAGATTTTCCAAGATACATCCCGATATTGCCATAATTCACATTATAAATGTTTGCAAATAATTAATTTCTAAAGTTTGCAGCATTGATGGAAAACCTTCGATGGTGCTTCGCACGCATCACTATCAAAGGTAAACCAAATGTAAATATTTATTTATCATATATTCTGCGAATAATATATTTTTAAACAAACTGTTATCAGTTTTCTTATTAACTGTTTTATTATTAGCTTCTCTAGGTGAATAATGGAAATTGTACTGCCTTTATTCTGGTGCATTTGCATTGCAAATATAGAAACTGTATCATAGTTATGGCGATATCCACAATGAAAGATTCAACTTATTGACCAATTAATGCCTTATTTTATCATTAGATAGCTCCACCATGCCATTGTTCATTACAAAAACTTCATAAATTGCTGTTACAGTTGAATAATATCACTGCAGCAATTTTCAGTGAATCATTTAACACCAATGAACCAAGCGTTTAGCATAATTCTTTAATTAATATTCCAATTTTTAAATCATGCGCCCAGAGATGATACAGCAGTGACATCTAACATTAACTGTATGGTACTAATTGGGTAGTAGCTTTACCTTTCTATCGTAGATGGCACCACGTATTTTTTTGAAACCTTCATTACGTTCGAATCAATTTTATAATACCAATGTTTCACGGTTATTCGGTTTTCGATATGTTTATATATCATTAAATACTACGGCATAATTAAGAACATCCATTGCAGCTGGACACTGTCGGTTTGTAGGTTAATCTCTGAGAAATCCGTCAAGTCTTCACGATCGCTTGAGGAAGGCGATGGCGCTAGTGGAAAGGGGGAATACCAGAGGTTATTCGAATTCTATCGGTCGGAGCAGGTCGGATCGGAGTGGCCGTTGATATATAGTACTCGGTGGTGTGAGTTTTGAGTGCTGTTTCGACCGGCGGTTAACACACGTATGGAGTGAGAAAGCGAGAAACGGAAAAGTTTCTCAGAGGTTTGTTTGTGCAATCATGAACGACCGTCGAAACAGGCGGGAGGTGTTAACGGTGTTGTTTTTGTGCGCGCTATGGTACATAATCTCGAGCACCAGCAACGTAGTGGGCAAAATGCTGCTCTCGGAGTTCCCCTACCCGTTGACAGTGACCATGGTCCAGTTAACCTCCATCACCATTTACTCCGGTCCGTTGTTCAACCTGTGGGGCGTCCGAAAGTACTCGTCCGATATTCCATGGGGCTATTACCTGCGACTGATCGTGCCGCTCGCGCTGGGAAAATTTGTGGCAAACGTGTTCAGCCACGTCAGCATCTGGAAAGTGCCCGTCTCGTATGCCCATACTGGTATGAAACAACAACAACAAGGAACGAACGAACGTTACTTTGACGGTCACGTGTACGGTTGCCCGCGTTTTGAAAATAAAATTCTCGGAGCTTCGTTTGTTAGTCGCGTCTGCTTTTAAGTTCGACTACGATAACAATGATCCGATGACACATCTGTTTTCGTTTCTTCCCACTGTGTTTCGTCCTATAGAGAGAATGTTCCGTTTGTCATGATATTTGGCAGATGCATTATTGCGCATTTGGATCAAGATTTTATCTGATATATAACTGTGATAAAGATCATTAGAGAAGGATTTAAGTAAAGACCCCATTGACTGACAGTTGAGTTGATAATGATAAGATTTGTTAATTAATAGATTTCAGTGATAATGGCACAGTAATTACTATGTAATGTTTGAAGAGTCGTGTTACTTATTTTTAGATTTATTAATCTCATATGTTAACTGAAGTTTGGCTCTGTCCCAGTAAAGGCTACAATGCCCTTCTTCACGGTCTTCCTGTCAAGAATAATACTGAAGGAGAAACAAACATGGAAGGTGTACCTTAGCTTGGTTCCAATTGTCGTCGGTGTGGCTGTTGCTACCCTAACAGAACTGAGTTTCAACATGATAGGTCTTCTGAGTGCCTTAGCATCTACCATGGCATTCTCTTTGCAAAATATTTATTCCAAGAAGGTAATAGCAGTATATTTCGAATGTATAATATTGTTGTATTAACTTTTCGCATGTATAAATCTGTATTGTTGTTTTCAGGTGTTGCACGATACAGGAATACACCACTTGAGGCTTCTACATGTTCTAGGTCGTCTAGCGTTAATTCTATTCTCTCCCATTTGGATAATATATGATCTGAGAAGGCTAATATACGACCCGGTTATACACGGGTCTCCAAATTTAAGTTACTACATATTAGGCCTGTTATTCTTAGACGGTGTGTTGAACTGGCTTCAAAATATCATTGCGTTCTCGGTACTGTCTATCGTTACTCCTTTAACTTACGCGGTGGCCAGCGCAAGTAAGCGTATATTTGTCATCGCGGTGACGTTGTTCGTGCTCGCGAACCCAGTGACGTGGGTGAACGTGTTGGGTATGACACTGGCTATTTCCGGGGTATTATGCTACAATAAAGCAAAGTACGATCAACGGTTGGAAAAAGAGAGCGATACATCTCTTCCGTCATATTACGATAAAAATCGTAACGGCAATGCTAGTTCCTTCTTTTTCTTCCAGAACATGACGTTTCAGTCATGGCAATGTAATCGGTTGTTTATTTATACCGATTGTAGAAATTGGAAAGGGTTAATGCGTTGTCTAGAACATACTATATAACACGTTACGAGGGATGTACAGATGAAAGCTCGTATGATGACAAAATATTTATATATGTGTATATACATATATACACATAAGTACATATATTTTATTAATTATTCTGCACAAAGCTGTAATTTGCCTGGTTAGCCTGTTTCTGTTTTTGTATTTTTTTCTAGTATTACATTGACATTGCTCTTGCTTCTCGCAAGAATAGTAGACCTGCTGGTAAGGTGGGAAAATTATTTAACTCTGTTTACAGCTAATTGCTGGGTCAATTAGCATTCAGGCTGATCCGATGACATTCCTATTACATGCCCCGATAACAAAAGCGAAATGGATTAGTCCGGTTTCAGTGCTCGTGTCTATTCGATATCGAGCCAGTGATCGAATTTGCATAGTATTGATTAGGTATTACATTTTACTATCTTAGCTTCATGTAGCCTGTTACGTGAAAAGAAAATACGATTGAGACAACACGAAGTTATTCCGCTATAGAGTGTCGCGATCCGGTTTCGCGAGCCCTACTGTTCTTGTAAGGTAACACGAGATACAGTAACCGCTTGTGTGAGAGAATACTTTACTTTGCAATGCTCCGAGGTTTACGGTAACCAATCACACGAACAAGTATCTGTTAAAAAAATTACCGTTCCGTTGCGACGTCCACTCAGTGTATATCCGTTAAAGGGTTAGAAATATGTTTTTAATCAAGTGTGTGCTGGGACTGTGTGTATATTCAGGAGAAAATGTTCTAGCTGAAAGCAATCTATACATTTATTTTTATAAATAAAATACAGGTGTGTACAAAAATATATACTAGATACATCGTCCACTATTCCTCTCGGTACTAGTGATGGCGATACATTTGAATTGTATCGATACAGATTAATCGTAAACTTTCTGAGAAGCTTGTGATCTCAATTGAAAAGTATCTATACTGTATCGCTCATCACTACTTAGTACCCATCGTACCAGAATGCCGCCCTAATCCCTTGACTTACAGAGTTTTTATGATATTAGGAGAGACTGGTCTAGCAATGGTCAGATCTAAACGTGGACCGGCTGCGGCGATCAGTGGAACGGCCAGACAACAGTCACAGTCCTCGGTGTTGGCCTCGTTCACTCGCAGAATCCTGTCGTATGGTCGCAGAACACCGTCACAGGGTCCACCAGGTCGCAGACGGTTTATGTAAACTCCACGCTCGTACAGTCCATCCGACACTGAAAATCCAAAGTCCTCGTACACCGGATCCTTGTGCAGCGACACGTGAACTATCTGCTGCTGTCTGTCCGTACTGTTACGTTCCTGTGACCTGAAAGACAATAACAAAGTGTGAATTACTTGAAATCAACCACAACTATTTCCTGTGTACCGTTACGGACCCAATTATAAATTTCAAATTGTTAATAATTATTTAGTAATTTTTTGGGAAACAAACTTTAATTGTAATAAACTTATTATATGATATTTATATACTAAACTGATCAGGAATTGGGTTCTGATCAGGAATTCGGTCCGTGAAGGTATATGTATATCTCCTGGACCGATCCACTGTATGTATGTTTCTGTTACCCAGGATAAGGCGGCATAGGTAGATCCAGCTGGCCGCTGTCTACAGAAGCGGTATCCCACAGTCTCAAAATCTCCGGACCTGTTCCACTGTTCTCGCCCAATTCTCCCCAGGAATCCACAGCGCTATCCACACTTGGAAGACTCCCTCTTGCTGGCCGTAGAATCCCACTGGAATACTGTTGTGTTGTGTCGCTTCCTATACTAGAATCCCTATAACAGTTCTCTACGATACTCGCTACTTCTCACTCGATTAACTCCTGAGTACCATATAAAGCACCACAGAAGAAGACCGTGTAGGGTAATAATAGCTTTTATGCTTTATAAGTATACAATGTCCATATAACTCAGGTGTGAAAGTGTCACTTATTAGTAGACTACAGAAGTTTACGTGAAAATCAAAATGTTACTGATGTACAAAAATGAAAATGAAGCAGACTTTGGAATTCTGTAGCTGAAGATTTACTACGTCAAGAATAACACAACAATAGTGTTAAACTTTATTGAAACGAAGTTAAGAGATGAACATCCACGGTCTACTTAAACGCTACCGATGTCGTCAGCGAGTTATCATGGTAAATACCTGTTCTCTGAGACAGGATCCGGTTTCCTGACGGTCAAAGCAACCACCGAGCTCCCCGGTCGATGTAACAGTTGCGCAGCTTGCCGAAGATCCCCCGGATCCAGTTTCTGTCCGTCTATCGCTAGTAACCTGTCGCCAGGCGCGAGGCTACCGGTCCTGTAAGCCAGAGACCCCTTACGAACCTCCGTGATGATCAAGTCTTCATTAACCGTCAGCCCAACGTCCGGCTGACCGCCGACTGGTCTTGCTACTCGGACAGTGAACACACCTGAGCTGGGCACGACTGGTCCACCGGCCTTGTACTCGATCACCATTTCGATCTACCAACGGGAACAGAAGAAACAACGATTACGATCCTTAATAACGATCATCACACGCGAAGAAAATCTGATGCTCACGACTTGAGAGTTCTCCAGTATGCCGTTCACTTCCTGCGGTTGCAGGTCCCTCAGGAACCTACGATTGATGGTCAACACTTTGTCACCGGGTAGCAAAACCCCGCTACGCTCTGCCGGTCCTCCAGCCTCCAACAAGCTCACCACGTAATTCAGACGATCCTCCGCGGGTTTCAAGGCCAGACCAAAACCCTTGTGATCGGGTCTCAGCACAACGGTCAGGCTCTCTTTTGTCTGAAGGGTCTGACTGGTGACTTGCTGGGCCTGAGGCTGGGCCCGCCTCTTGACCGTTCGCTGAGAGGCGCTCGGTGGCCTGGGCAGGATCTGCAGCCTGGCGATTCGGGAACTGTCAAAGTTACTGCGCAGCAGCTTCGCCGCGGTCACAGCATCCTGAACAGGGGTCTCGTCCACGGCCAATAGTTTGTCCCCCGGTTGCAATGCGCCACACCGGTCCGCCGTGCTGGCTGGCCGTAGACTCTCGATGTAGACTCCGTTCGGTGTTTCTCTGACTGTCAATCCTAGCTCTCCTGTGAATTGTACATGATATATTAACCGAATGTACGATTGACTCAGAGCCCACGCGGTCCCTTTAACGGTTTTCGCAGTGTTTACTGCGACCGGATGGGATTTTATTGGCTCCAGCCGGCTTTAACGAGCCACGAAGCAGCTCTGGGTGTAATTGGGGGGGGGGGGGGAGGGGGTCAGAAATAGACTCTCCAACCCTTTGCGCACCGGATTCATGGAAGTGTGTACACCGTAGTAAACAGTTACAGAAGTTCTGGCCCACAATCTTTATTTAGTTACCCCAGGATATATCTATAATTATCCGCCGGCAATATTGTATTCGCGTCTTTAATAGAGTAACCGAGCCGGGTTCGTTCGATTGTGTCGAACCGACGGATGTTAATTGTACGATCCAGGATTGTATTACCTGAAAGACCACGCTCTAATTGTACCAGTAGGGGTCCAGACGTGGCGGCCCGTGCCTCCTCCATGTTGGCCACATCGTACTCGATGGTCAAGGAGGCAACCGGCGCGTCCGAGCTCCTCCTGAGCGCTCTCTGCGCCTCCGCCAGGGTCAGACCCCTAAGTTCAGTGTCGTCCACCGCCAGTAGCCTGTCGCCGGGCCTGACTCTCCCCTCTTTCGCCGCTGGCCCGTCGGATTTCACCCCGGTGACCACCAACGCCCTCGAGACTCCGCCTCTGAGGGTGACCCCGAGGCTGCCGCCTTCGCGTTCGACCCTGACCTGGGCGACCTTCGAGGACACGCTCGACGGAGGTGACACAGGACCATCTTGGTCGTCCAACAGAAGGAAACTGGGCGGATGATAGGACTGCTGTGTGATCTCGTCGGCGGCACGGGTCGAATCGGAACTGGCGGACGTGGCCACGCTTCCGGGCCTGGCACGGTTGTTCTTGTGCGATCGCATGGTAGTCAGTCTCAACGAGCTGAACATTCTCGAGCGCCAGCAGACTGCTCTTCTAACTTTGTCTATATTCTAGGGTCCACGGTCACACTGATTCGCATCGCTGAGAGACTTCGCAACTCGGTTGGTCTACCAAATTTGCATCCCTTTTCGGAGACTGTGCTAGATGTCGGGCACACCGTCCGTAACACTGTGTCGGGAATCGAGAGAGCGACTGGCGCATCGGGTATATTTATTTTAAGATGGTATATAATCTCGAGAACCGACCGTGATTCAAGAGGTTCTCCACCGGTCGAGTTTTCGTCGAGTGTGGTATCGCTTTGATTTTTTTGGAACACGCACGCTCTACTTTGTCGCACTAATCGGTAACTATTTTCGCAGGGGGTGCACTACGGAGGAGGATGGCTGGAGGAGCAGCTGGCAGCGGTGAACCGTGACAATCGACGACGACCACCGGCTCTTTTTGCTCGCGGTGTAAACACACACTGTCTTTGTTCGAACGGGTCGTGAGGAGCGGCGGGACGAAGCTCGTTGAAACTGACGAGCGCACGGAGAACTGTGACGAGTAAAGCGCGCGCACGCGAGACGTCTGTCGAAAATAGCTCGCCGATGTAGGGCCGCATCCTCGACGTGCGTACGCGGATATCTATTTATACCGGGGGGACACCCTCGCACAGACGGTTGCGGCCCTGCGGGCGTAAGGCACAGCCGTTGCACGCTCTACCGTCGGAGTCAACTCTGCAGTTTTCTCGTTAAATGTCTCGACGACGATTTTACGCGGCTGCGGTGTTGTCCCTCTTCTTGAATCCTGTAAAACGTCTCCTTGCGGGGAAGGGGTTCGGCGGGCGTAAGACGTTCGGAGACCGCCGCGCTTAATTTTAACGAGGCGACGAAGATTGCATGTTATTCTCTTATTATTTTTAGGTCGCCAGATCGGCGACTTGGAACGTCCGCGGCCCGTTGATACGTGGTAGAACCGACTCGTTTCTTTTTCTCCAGTAGCTCACAAAGGAGAGGTCCCGCAGGTGTAACGCTGACTGTTTAACCCTGGATTATTAAAATATCCGGTGACTTACATTGTTACTAATTTAATAATTGTAATTAAAATTACGAGGGGGAAGAAAACACGTGATATTTTGGAGAAATATTATTTTTATTGAGATAGAAACCTATGGTGTAAATATTTATGATAGTCAGGTGTAAAAATAATGCGAAAATCAAGACAGCAATTATTCAGCACAACTGGCACACACCGTAACAACGTTCGAGGTCGTAATTTTTATCGATCGTTTAGTAATCTAGGGTTAATAAGGTTTAGCACTGAGTGATAGTGCTGGGAATTCTGAAGCCAATGATATTTATTTCAGCCGCGTATGACCATTCGTTTATGAGATATTTAATGTTATAGTTACCGCCTATTATACAGGGTGGAGTAGATAACTAGTGGGGATCTTTTTCGCGTCCCCAATCTCTTTGGGCATACGTGACTAGTAACAGGCGAAATTGTCACTTCTGTACATTTTCTAATTAAGCTGGGAATTTATAGTGATAATCCTTTTATGGTACACTGTATCAAAAGAACGGCTCTGAAAGACTCACGTTGGGTGAACTTTTTATCGGCTGAATGTTACGCAGGTCCGTGGTCTGCTGTCAGTTTTTCAGAATCGTAGTTAGTAATAGTAAGTTAATGTAGCGGATTGAGCAAGAAGACGCAGCGGATTCAGGGTCCATTGACCGAACCTCTTAACTCGCGGTTTTTTGCAACCGTGTGTTCGCTCTCCGTCTATCTGAATCTTCGTCGTTTCAATTTCAAGCCGTTTAGCCGCGCTCTTAGGATCTTCTCACTCGTTCTTAGTCCCCCCCCCCCCGGCAAGATCCGATCTCTGTGGTTCGCAGAAGCCCACCTTTCATCGTTCTCCATCCTTTGACCTTTCACTGCGACGCGCGAGAGCGTCTTTGCTCTCCCGACTGCCGACGTTTCAAAGAAAACTGTTTAATGTTCAAATAGTCTCTGACGGGGAACACGCGAGATGAGAGACAGATAAACAATTTGTGTTTAAGGAGCTTTAGGAGGGGATCTTACGATGCTCTTGGGGAGGGAGGCAATTAATTTCCCGCTATGACTGAACCGTGTCGAAGTGAATCAATTGGATCAATTACTCGGTTAATTATCTCATTAACTACCACTTTAGATATCTCTTTTTTCCCCTTAATTTATGATATATAATACCGTCTACTTTAATTGGATTTGTACTAATCTAGTCACGTCACTTTCAGGTGTCGATAAGAAGCCATTGATCGTTTAATTTTGGATCACGTTATCATCGCATTCGATGATCAGAATTAGTCGTGGGCGATACAGTATTGTATTTCGAATATCTATACTTTCCTGGGTAAATATCGATATACAGTTCAAATGTATCATCGCCGTTACTAGTGAGAATAATCATGGAAAGTCTGGAGAAGCGTTTCGACGTGCGCGCCCGCCACTTTCATCTCTCCGCCAGCCGTACTTACGTGGTGGTTTGCCAATTTCTCGGTGTGCTAAAGTTAGCGTGCAGTCAGCAGCGGGGATAGCCAACCGTGTGGCCGAGGAGAGGAGAAACGGATGGATGGAAAGAGATGGAGAAGTAGGAGGAGAGTTCGCACGATGGAAATAGAAAAAAAGTCGAGAACACACATACTAAACGCGTGCTGCTCTTGGAGGAAAAGGAGCAGCGAGAAGACAGGAAGAAGGTGTCGTCCGCGGGTGGAAGACCCTCGAGTACCAGTGTCTATCGCGACGGAAATAATTATCCTCCTCGAGTATTAATAACTTGACCGCGGCGTTGCGACGGTGTGCCACGAGTATAAACCGACGGAGTAATTATGCGTCTTTGAAATTTACACGCCGTGTCTCGGGTGTCTTCCGCGATCCCTACACCTATGACCCTTCTTCTTTGATCTCTGGGTGTCCAGCTGGATCGCGAATAATTCCGTACTCTGTGCCAAAGATTGTCCATACTTTTATTTCGAAACAAAGATCATTGTTACCCCCAGAACATTGATTCCGTGGTGTGAACGAGGTTTTACAAAAAAGAAAAAAATCCACGGAACATCAAGGGAAGTCCAATACCTGGCGAAGATTCGCATACAAAAGAAGGTACAGAGCTCGGAGGCTCCTAGTACTGGATTCCCCTTGTATGTTCCATGGGACACTATAGCCTAACTGCGCTCTATCGTCGTAAACGCGGGCTCTACGTTATAAAAACCTAGCAATGTCGTCGGTGTCGGCTCACGCCTCGCGAGTACAAGCGATTCAGGAACATTGTCTCGTGTACCAGCTTCATTTTACTCGCGTAGGGGCCGTGTGACGAGTGTCACAATCGCTTTTTTCCGCTCCGGAGGGACATATGAAGTCGTGTCGAGAGCATTATCGACTCACACACTGTGTTCGCTCGTTTCCCTGCAAAAGGGGCGACTGAACTCTTCCTGCTCCTGTTCCAGGACAGGGGAACAAGGTGGTCCAGCGTCCCGAGGGACTGGTAACCTTTGGTAGATATCACTGGAAAAGCACGACGTCGAATTACGCTTTATCAACGCGTGGAACTGTACAGTTTGTATAGTCGATTCGCGCGACGTTTCAGTCTGTCGCGTTCGGATTGGTGTACGAGAATCCTCGGAAGACACCCTGGTCCATGGACGTGAGGATCTGGTCGGGTACAGGTGTCAACCGTGGCCTCTCAGCGGTGAACGCTGTGTCGAAGTACTTGGTGTCCAGTGTGTGCTCCAGGGCTGGCTTGAACGGTGGCTCCAGCTGCCTCCTCTCCAGGCGGTCCCACGGTAACGACTGGAGGGGAACAAAAGAAGTATCAGAATAAATGGAAACCTCTATGGTACTAGGATAGATCTATATTACAAGGACAGATCTGTGTTACAAGGTCAATTACAGAACGGTGAATGTTTTGCAGGGTTGTACCTGGAAGAAGGCGTGATAGGCAATATCGTGGCCGGGCAACCTCTTCCCAGAGTCTTTCTCCAAAAGGCAGACAAGCATGTCCGTCGCGTCTTGGCTCAGGTAGCGGGGTATGAACGGCCGTTCGTTGCATATACTCCAAAATAGCTCGTCCTCGTCGCAGCCGGAGAACGGAGACTGTCCCGTGAGCATCTCGTAGAGCAGCACGCCGTACGACCACCAGTCAACCGCCTGATTGTATTTCAGTCCCTTTATGATCTGCAATGCGGAAACGCCGTGCACGACGGATAAATACTCGAGGAGAACGACGGATTTTTGTTATTTTGATACGCTGTGTGTGCGCGCGCGTGTTGACTCAACACCCTTGCACAACAAGACCCTGGCCAAACGGCGCTGCGTAAATTTAGAATGTAGGTATTTTGACCCCCACCCCCTTGAACAACACCGAAATGATTGTCGTGGACTGGTTAATTCTCTCGCTGTGTTTTCTTCTTTTTTTAGGCTTATCTTGCAGTTCATAGAATAGTGTTTGCCTCCTTACATTAATACTGTGGACCATGAGTTTGTATAGATATCGTGTACTCATTATATCAAACTTATCCGCTAAGTTGAAATTGGTGTCGAAGCCGGTACGATGGTCTACATGCTGATGGCTTCAGATGCCATAAATTTAATAAATATACATAATGCACAAGGTTTTAAACGTCAGATAAACAAGTAAGCCACGATAGTTCAAGAGGATGACATCAAGGTACCGTAGCTAAGAGATTATGTAACGAAAGAGTGCTATAATCTCAACTACCTCGGGAGCCATGTAATCAGGTGTCCCGCAAAATGTGTCCGCTGTCCTGTCCAGGAATATCTGAAGCTTGCACATGCCAAAGTCCGCGATCCTGATGTGGCCCTCGAAGTCCAGGAGGACATTGTCCAATTTCAAGTCTCTGTAGACTATGCCTTTCTTGTGCAAAAAGTTCAAGCCGGACCAAATCTCCGCTGCGTAGAAACGAGCCCGTGTCTCGGAGAATCGGCCCGACTTTTGAATGTGGAACATCAGATCGCCGCCGTTTAGGTACTCCATCACGAAGAACAGGTGGGAGTCCGTTTGGAAGGTGCAGAACAGGTGGCAAAGGTACGGATGCCTGGTGGCCAGCGTCAGCACTTTCCTCTCGATCAGCGTGCACTCCACGTCGTCGTCCTCGAGCACCACGTCCTTCTTCAGGCATTTCACCGCGTAAACGCATTCTGTTCCTCGTAGCTCGGCTAGCAGCACCTTGCCAAAGCTGCCTTTTCCCAAAACCTGCAGACATTTCGTACAGTTTTATGCATTTTTCAGGAATGATATTGGTCAAAACAAAAGTCGTCACGCGGGGAAGCTGATTTTATCAACGAGGAGGGAAATTCAGGTCTGAAAGGGCCCGAAACGGCACACGGTGGAAAGTTCATGTGTCTAAAGCGAGAGAGTGCCGCACACGTGAGACTATCTCCGGCCGTTAAAAATAATGCCGTTGCGTGGTGCTAATTCGGGTGATCTATTTGCGGTGGTGGACCGGTACAAAATTTAGTCACTTTTAAACATTCCCGCGAATATTTTCGCTCGTTGGCTCGAACACAACGAGACAACGTATTTTCCAGTATCGTTATTTGGATTTAAATGTTGTACCGGGCGCGGTCTGTCGAATACGAAAGAGGGCGAGAATTTTCTTCCTGGCACTGTCATTCTTCCCTTTCTATCATAAACTTGAAAATTGAACGTTAGCCCGTTGATTCCGCGAGAATCGTTTGCGAATCGATGTTTCGAATATCGATAAATTTCAATTCAAATATCGATATTTAATGTGACGATATATTCCAGTATCGACACTTAACCCATAAATATCGAAATTTTTATACAATCGCTGTGCATACTCTGGGTATTAATGCGTATCGATACCAAATATCGATCCACAATTCAAATGTATCGCCATCGCTAATTCACGCGATGCTGAACGCATGTGATCCGTATTAGCTTTCGTCGAGGGCCGAGCCAACGAGTTTCAGGAAGCGACTCGTAAATTTTCCGGAAACTATATTTACAGGTAGTTAGAGATGCGCGATTCTCGCGATAAGACGCTCCCTCGAGAGCGGTAGTTTCTTTGACTTTCCTCCGGTTCTTGGTACCGACCGAGTTAAAAACGTTTTTTTTTTTTAAAGGCGCGAGTTTCCCGGAACACAATAACCTTCCACATGCGGAGAAAAGTCAGGGGAACAAGGAAAGCTCTTTCCAGCCTTCTGGAAACTACTCATAGCGATACAGTATCGATATTTCTAATATTGATACTTTTCAATTCAATTATCAATATTTAATGCGACGATATACATTCCAATATCAATACATAACCCATAAATATCGACATTTCGATAGAATCGAATTTGAATTCGATACAATCGAAATTTGGACATCCAATATCGATGCAATTCAAGTGTATTGCCATCGCTACTGGGAACAGTCGTAAAAGCATCTTGTCATGCGACATTTTTAACATTTTGGCTAGCAGAGAGATGAGCGTTACACGTGTAAAACCCGTTAACGAGCTCTAACCTCGCTACAATGGACTTACTTTGAGGAAATTGAAGTCTGTGACGGCGTATTTCTTGAATCTTGGCAGATTCGTCGCTGGCGGTGTGATCCGACCGCTTGGGAAATGGTCTGACGAGTCGGAGTTCCTCTGGGTGTCTGACGATTGCGAGGGTGCTGTGAATTATACATCAAACCGTTAGTTCATGAAATTCATCCGTTAAATACTTTCCACGCAGAAAACTTTGTTATGTAGTACTCGAACACGTTACACTTTAAACTATGTTACCATTAGTAGAAAGGTATGCATTGTTTATTAGTATGTAAGGAATAACCTTATGTATATTAGGTGTAAAAATTAATTCGGTGCCTTTTTTCACAGAATTCAATATTTATCTACAAATGAATTCATTATTTTCAATGGCGTGACAGGAAGATTCTTTCAAAAGAAGATGTCGGTTCCCAGTGGATAAGTTGAGTGTGTTCTGTTGTGTTTTATAATTTTTGTTTATCTCATAACGTGTGTTTTACCAAAGTACGTGACGTTTCGAGACGGTTAAGGTCGAGAACCGCGAAATGAGTAGAAAGTATTTGAATTCAAAATCGAGACACGTAACTGGTCCTACGCGAACGCACCGAATGAATTTCCCACACCTAATATTTCAGTGTTAACGAGAACTTCGGTTCCTGCGCACAAAAACCTCAATTAATAAGCTCGTTAATCGTCGTTTACAGCGCACGAAGAAAACAACTCCACCGGGCGCGTGATTTTGGCCGGTTGACACTTTTCGAAAATAGAGCTGATCGTCTGTGTGACGCGCGCAGAGGACTCTGGGAGAGAGCTTGACATAATTGATCGATCGGGGGACAGGTAGGAATCGCCGGCTTGCAGCGTCGGTTACCGATTTAACAGTGAGGTAATCTGATTTCGCAGCGGGTACACCACGGTAGGTGTATCGGCCGCGGAGATTATTTACTGGCCCGTGAACGGATTTATGACAGCCACGTGGAGGATTACCGTAGTCATAGATGAATGCACTCGCGCACGACAATCGTTAGCCAAGTCTGCCGTCCGTCCCAGCCAAAGTTTCGCGGTTCCAAACAGGTACGTTTCCACGAAAAATTACTTTTGTCAAAAATATAATTACAGTGGACTCTTGATATACTGCGGCTTGCTATATTGCCGCGCCAACCACTTCTTTTATGCACTTTCACGGACACAGAAACTCGCTTTCCCGCCACGTTGCGCACGCAACACGATCCAACAAATTCATGTTGTTTTGGAACAACGGCGGCATAACTTGACATAGAGGGGGCTCTCGGTATAGTGCCGCTTTCGAGAATTTTACAAAGTAGTCAAGAGTCCACTGTAATTCGATTCGTTTAATTGGTAAATAGGTGGTGTGGAGCAACAGTGTCAATGGAAACTGACAAACGAAGGTGAGTCAATGACAGAAATTCGAGATGGTAAAGCTGTCTAGTCGCAAGACAACCTGAAATTCCCCTCGAGTCTCCAACTGGATTAGGGCAGCTTTCAAATAGAGATTTTCAAACGTCTCTCGGTGGATTTTCAATGCTCACTCACCCCTCTTTAGCGACTGCAAAGCCTCCGCCACGAGCTTTTGATTCAAACCGCAAAGATTCCCGGTGAGCTTTTCGCACTTCTTATGACACGCCATGTCGCAATCTGTTCGAACCGTGATCAATTGATTTGTCATTTTCTCTTCTCTGTCAGTTTTCGTTACTTCTGTGACACGCCTTGAATCACGGGTAACTGTCGTCTCTCGGAGCTTCTTGGATACTGACGCGGAACCGCGGTGTTACTTGGAAAGATTACAACTTTCACGCGATACAATTTACACGAGAAATTCAAAATGGCACTCTTGACCAATCTACAACGGTCTCCCATCGGAACAGTCTCTATTTTGGCCGATCGCGTTTTGTTGTTTTTTTACTAACAGGTAAATTTAGTCTCGAAAATTCGTGTTTCTGCACTGTCAGTGGCGTTATGAAAAGCCTTGAATATATTGTTACGAAACTGCGCCACGTCTTATAAATAGGGCCACGTTGTCCGAACCATGTGCGTCAGTCCTTGATCTAGCCGGTTGCAAACAAACAATTCGACCGTTTCTGGTGTGGAAATACCACTCGAACTGAACACCAATTATCGCTAAGTGTGACCCTCGAGGTGTCGAAGCCAAGAAGACCGAGAAAAGGTACTTTGAATTCTCGAATCGCTGCCTGTAAGTAAATTGGCGAACGCAGTGTCGTTGACACTGTGGCAGCAATTTCCGTGAGAATAAAACAAAATGGATCAACGGTTTTACCATTTTCTAATCATATATATTATTACTTTTCAGGTAGCATACCACGAGTCCATCAGCAAACCAACATATCATATCGTCCGTACAGTGCAATTACACAAGTTGTTATTGGGTGCTGTCCAACTGAACATTTTTTTCTCTTCGTTAAGAACGTCAGCCGTCGAATTATTATCTCGAGTACGCGTTAAAGTCGGCAAGGCAGACATGCAAGCATTACTCTCGAAACCATGCAAACAGAGAAAAACGGTACAGGGTTGTGTTACACGATAGAAATCTCCATCTAATCCCGTAGCCACAAAATATAGAAATCGTCGATTCTTTCAGGCCACATCAATACCAAGATCTTTCCAAACAACCAAAGAGACGTTGGAATCGTCTGTCTCTCAATTTCGCGCAAGTATGTTTTGAATAACCGGGCAGCGGTAAATCTCTGCAGAATTTGCCAGTGTGGTAAACAGAATTCGAACAGAAATCGCAAAAAGCAGGCCCCCAAACGTTACGCAACGTGGCACATAGACACACAAAGAAGCAGGAATTCTGTATCTAAAAATATAAGACGGGACAAGTATGTACTCGATATCCTCGGCGAACCGTCGAACCCGGAGTCGTTGCTCCTCGTCGAGTTCATCCTCTTGTCCGGGTCGTCGTCCAGCTCCGTGCAGGTGGACCCGCTGCTCTCCGTGGTTGCGGTGCTGGTTGTGCTTCCGGTACTGTCGCTGCTTACCGAGGGCGTCCTCGAGTGGTGCTTCCGTCTCTTTATCTTGGCTCGACGAACCTTGGACAGATCTCTGGGCGTCGCGGTCAGCAGTGCCGTAGGCGTGGTATAGAACATCCTGATGAGATCTATCGGTTTCGGCGTGGGTGCGCTCTTCGCCGCGGTCTTCGAGGACGTCTTGGACTCTGGCGGTTTCAGGCTGTCCTGGGACTTAGTGGAGCTCTTCTTCGACTCCTTGGTCTCTTTCTTGGAGTCCTTCTTACTGGAGGAATTCTTCTTCGTTGTCGAGGATTTTTTTTTTCTGACGACTTTCTTCTTTTTAGAGGATTCCGGACTACCTTCCGGAGTGGCGGCCACGCTGACAGTCTTGGACGGGACTGGAGTAACGTCCTTCTCCGTGTCGTCGACGTTCGAGAGGTCACTTTGATTGGTCCACTTGGAGATTCTGTGCAGACTACCTGGCCACTCGTTCGTAGGAGTTTTTTGATCCTCGTCCTCTTCCAGGAACTCAGAATCTGTCCTGATTGGCGTGGTCGCCGCTACGATGTTGATCAACGGCAGGGAAACGTCGAAGACCGGGGTGGAGACTTCGGAGGCGGGCACAGAGGTGTCTGGAGTGCTGCCGACCGATCTGGCGGAGATGGTCGATGCTGTGGAATCTTCTCTGCTCAGGGGAGTCCTCTTCACTGTTGCGTCCTTTGGCGTTTGATTGATCGCTATTGACAGATTTCTCTTCTTTTTAGGTGCCTTCCTGGGAGACTCTATGCTGGACATTTTCTCCTCCGCGGTGGACTTGCACGACTCCTCCTCCGCTTTCTGCTCCTCCTCGATCACGGAGATGTTACTGAGCACCAGCGAACCGGCGACGCTTATTTTCGGATCCCAGTCTTTTTTCTTGTCCATTTCTTTCTCGCCGGGGTCCTCGACCGACTGCCGCGATTCCAGAGTCTTCGAACCGACGAAATTGAATCCCTTGGCCACCTTCGCCACCTGTGGACTTTCTGGGCCCTTGATCTCGCTCCAGAAGTCGATCGACTCCGTCGATGTGCTCTTCGACAGCGTTCCACTCTCGCCGTTCAAGCCCTCGAACATCTTCACCGACTGTTGCTTGTCCACCGGCATCTTCCTGGCCTCGTCCACGGAAGTGGTCTGCTTCAAGGCATTGGCTTTAGAATCCACACTGATACTCCTATTCGGACGTGGCCCACTTTCTGTAGAACTATTCGACACTTTGTTCCTCCAAGGGATTTTAGACTCCTTCCCCGGTGTAGCTTCTTCGTTTTTCAACACTTTCTCCTCTCCTTTATCGGTGTCAGTCTTCTTGGCGATCTTGAAGGGGAGTCGAAAACCATCATTGTTCTTAACAGCACTCAAGCCCTTCTTACCTTTAACATCCTCAGAAGTCTTTTCAATGTCCTCTTTCGTCTGTGTGTCGCACTTGGGACCCGTGAACAAGGTCGACTTCGTTACCTTCTTGGTCGTCGCGGTTGCGTCATCGAGCGGACTCTTTCCTGATCGATTTTCCTCGGTGATTCCCCGATTACCTGGCTCGCCAGTCACGTCGTTGTGGGAGGCGGAGGCAGCAGTCAAGGTCACGGCTTTGTTCGCCCTATTTCCCGGTAACGGAGAACCAACGTCGTCCCCGTCACGCTCGGTTTTCGTCGTGTTTGCCAGGTACTCCGGTTCGCGTAACGCTTGCTTTGGCGCTTCTACGGCATTATTTTCATCCGTAGTAATTTTAGACTGTTTTGGCAGCCCGTCCCCGGCCAATGGAAGACGAACCAACGTCGTCGTAGTAACGTTGGCGCTGTTTTCACTCGTGAACGGGTCAACAGCTAGCGTCACGCCGTTCGACGGCACGCTAGTCTTCGGGGAGGACTCCTCGGGGGCCGAGACACCGAGCTTTCTGGGTCTCGAGAGCTCTGGCCTCTTTTGCGCGGCTGCTGCTTCTTCTTTCTTCATCGTCGGGGCTGTCGTCGACTCCGTGACTTCTTTATCGGGCGCATCTTTCTTGGTTAATTTAGGAACGTCTCTGGTGTCCTCTTTCTTCGGCGTGGAAGGTGACTTTGGAGAGCTTGGGACGCTCTTGTCTCGCTCAGTTTGTGTCTGTTTCACTTCGGGACTCTTTTCTTCTGGGACCCTATTTTTGGGAGTTTCTTTGGCAACTGGACTCTCGGGTTTATCTTGTTTGACCTTTGATGGAGTTTTAGACTTTGGGGAGCTTGGAAGTTCAGTCTTGGTCTGTTTCACTTCAGGACTCTTTGCTTCCTTTGTTCCCTCTGGGATCCTATATTTGGGAGGATCCTTGTAAACTGGACTCTCAGGTTGATCTAGTTTGAGTTTCGATGGAGTCTTAGACTTTGGGGAGCTTGGAAGTTCAGTCTTGGTCTGTTTCACTTCAGGACTCTTTGCTTCCTTTGTTCCCTCTGGGATCCTATATTTGGGAGGATCCTTGTAAACTGGACTCTCAGGTTGATCTAGTTTGAGTTTCGATGGAGTCTTAGACTTTGGAGAGCTTGGAAGTTCAGTCTTGGTCTGTTTCACTTCAGGACTCTTTGCTTCCTTTGTTCCCTCTGGGATCCTATATTTGGGAGGATCCTTGTAAATTGGACTCTCAGGTTGATCTAGTTTGAGTTTCGATGGAGTCTTAGACTTTGGGGAGCTTGGAAGTTCAGTCTTGATCTGTTTCAATTCAGGACTTTTCGGTTCCATCGTTGGCTCTGGAACCGTATCTTTGGAAGCATCCTTGGTAACTGAACTCTCAGGTTTATCTTCCATCTTCTCCACCGTAACACCGTTTCTCACCGTTTTCAGGCTCTTCATCGGATCGTTCCTCAAGTTCTCCGTTGGAGTTCTGACCGTGTAGTGCACGCTGTTCCTCGAGGTGTCCTTGACATATGGCCTCTTCACAGGTAGTACGACCTCGGTCTCGGACTCGTCCGCGCTGTCAGTCTTATGGACATTTATTTTCCTAGGTACCGGTATCTTGACGCTCTCCCTGAACTGCTCGATGCTGATGCTCGGTTCCGCGGTCACCCAAACGGTGGAGAAATCACCGACACTGTTGCTGGCCTCTATCTTATACGCCTGTGGCCTGGAAAGCTTTCTCTCCCTGTTCTCCTCGTTGCTCTGAAGATCAACGGAAACGTCGCTGGAGGTACTGGACCTGCGTTCCCTTTCGTTCTCGTTATCATTGTCAGGCGGTTTCTCGGTTCCCCTCTTCTTTTTCTTCACCTTCTTCAGGCTCTTCCTCATCTTCTGCGCGGTGGAATCCTCCTCCTCTACCTGGGACACCGAGTCCACGGTTCTGAAGAAACCAGGAACAGACTTATGCCCGCCGATCGTCCCTTTTTTGATCAGTGTCCCACGACGAACCTCGTTCTCGATCTCCGCCTGTTCCTCCGCCACCAGTGTGTCCAGCACCTTCGCCTGCACCTGAGCGTAGGCCACCTCTCTCTCCAACTGTTCAGGATCCAACTGGATATCAGCGGAGGATCGTCGTCTGGTGAACCGTCTTGTGATCTTGTTGCTCACCTGCTGTGGATCCTGCTGCTGCTGCTGTTGCTCCTGCTCCTGCACCGCCTCGTCACGCGCCAGGCTGACCTGATGGAACAGCTGCAAACCTTTCTCCGCCTCGTCCAGCTTCTTGTCCTTGATCAGGAACTTCTCCACCAGTAATTCACCCACCGATTTCTCGTGTCTCTCGTTGTGCTCCCGTAACGCTGGATTGTCCTTGAGAGCCTGCGATCTGATCTTGATGGTCGGCCGATCGCGACGCAAACGGTTACGCTGATGGGTACCGTCCCCGGACGAGATCCTGGGCGTCGAGACATCGATGTCCGCGGTGTCGATCACACGTCTGGGTCGTGTCGGCACCGTCACCGGCGAGTAACGGCGTAGAGTGCTCAACGGCGACTCGGAGATCGTCGACAGATGCGGGGAGAACCGTGACAATGGTGTATGAAAGGATCTACGCGAAGTTCGTGAATCAATTTCTATCGTTGAATCGCATGGAAACTGGTTATGGTCGATAGAGTATCGATATTTCGAATGTCGACACTTTTCAATTCATATTATCAATGTGTCGTATCAATATTTAATGTAACGATACATTCCAGTATCGATACTCAACCTAGAACCATCGAAATTTCGATACACCTGATTCGAAAATGTACCATTCGCGAGCTTAATATCGCCATCACTGGTGGAAACTTCTCTCTCAACGAATTTAAGCGATACTTCGTCCCAATTTAATCTATAGAGACTAAAGAATCTATTCTTTCTTAAGAAAGTCTGAGGATCGATCCGGTTTCTGCGGCCAGTCAACTCGTGAGCTCACCAAGCAAGCCTTTCAGAAGTAGTTGCAAGTCATTCGACGATACAGAATCATTGTTAAGTGACGCAATAGCGAACGCAATGGACTTGGACTACCTCTGATAAGCCGTCCGCGCGTTGTTTCAATGCCAGAGGATTGTTTTCGCGGTGCATTACGTTGCAGAACGAGAATGAACACTTGTTACACGTATGACTGTGCTCGATGGCTCTCGATCTGGCCCGGTCATGGTCACGAATGATTGACAGGCTTCGATTCATGGAGTCATTCTACGTGTATGTATGCACGATGACAACACGGACGACTAATGGGTACACGTGGCGCGTATTGACACAGAGGAACCATTGCAGAAATGCTTCAACCCTTTACTGCCAATAGGCTAGATACCTTGAATGAAAAGAAAGCTCGGAGAAACTAATTCTAACGTAACATCGTTTCTCTGTGGTCAATAGTAATTTTGTAATTTGTATTTCTGCTAGTCCAAAATTGTAAGAAAAGAGGTTATTTAATTATTAACTTCTTTTTAATATGGCAAGCAAGATATTGTTGTTCCAACGATAAAGTCGTGAAACTGCAAGAATTGAATTTCTCAGAAAACAAAGGAATCCCCTTTGTCAGTCTATTGTAGAGTCACAAACATTTCACAACAATGAAAACATTGCAGTTGCACAAAATTACCATTGAGACGATGATATTCAAGAGGGGGGCAGTTTCTGCCCTTTTTTTCATGTGTAACAGTCTCAATGGCCTGTCTGCCAGTCGCGCAGAAACTGTTCGTTCGCAATCAATCTTCCTCGGGCTGCTTGGAGAGTTACACAGACGCGTAATTGCGGTGTTCCGCAGAATATTTTCTGGCAGAGCAACGCGTTTAGGAGGCGGCGAAGCTTTTATCACGCGGTGATTGCATTTTCGTCCAGACTTCGGGCGGCTATTTTTAAATATTATACAGATTTTCACGACTATTCACCACCGTCGTCGCCACGTTCCGTGTAATCTCTGTGATTTATCCGAATTAATCGCTCCGCGGTTACATTCTCCGTTAATTAGTTACCCGATTTGACGGACCGTATGTCATATTCGCGGCTTGCCAAAATGTCTCGGTGTGGGGAAACCTCTCGCGGAACTGCTTGGTAAACGAGCAAGCAGAGTTATTCTAATTGTAGGAAAGATCGCTAATTTCTCCTCGACTCGGGCCAGACTGCGAGATCATGATACAGAGTGTCCCCAACGTACCTGTTTGTTCTGTAGAAATTGATGGAGAACAAGAAATTCCAAGGAGGGACGTTTTATTATAGAATATTCGAGGAATTGTCTTCTCCAAAACTTAACTGCATATCTCAAATTGTGCTTTGTTCTCAATAATTTCTATAGAATAAATAGGGACATTGTGGACCAACCTGCATTGTCGCAAGAGCTACTATTTTCATTACGTTTTTACTATTATATTCAATGTGACGATATACATTCCAGTATCAATACTTAACCCATAAGTATCGAAATTTTGATACGTAAATGATTCAAGTATTTTCATTTTTGAATTTTCATTACTTCTAATTTAATTGCAAGTATCGACACCGATAATATCTATACAAATTCGAATGTATCGCCATCGCTAGTTTTTTACCGCCCCATAACGTCAACATAGAACGAAAGAGAGAAGTTTCCATGTACAGCGAAAGAAATCAGGAAAGGAAGCATGTTTCTCGGTTCTTGGAACGTTATTTCGGTGTACGCGGCACAAAGGGACGGAAATAGAAGCTTTATGGAGGAAAAGAATGGTTTAGCGTTTTAGTGATCGAAACGAAGGATACTCGTATGGATTCAAAGAAAAGACCGATGTTTCAAAGGCAAGAAGCCTGTCGGTCCTGGTATCCGAACAACGAGTACTGTACACACTCTACTTAAACGAGAGATACATGGGACACTTGACAGCGGCTAGTGGAAGTGTTTCAAGAAATATTCAGAGCTCTAAGGTTGTGTGTATCACACCGAAAGAAAAACAAATTGGAACGTCTGACAGAGAATACGAAAATAAATTAACACGACATCCTCTGGGATTATGTCATAGGTACTGCACTAAAGGTATGTCTTTCAAAGAGACTGATGAATGTTTCAACAAACATTTTCCTTTTCAGGATAATTCCACGGAGAGGGATGAAGAGAACTATCAATACTATATTCTAATGAAATGAAAGATACAGAAGTGTAACAAAAGAACATTCCAGAATTAAATCTGGATGGCCAATAAGGATAAATAAAAACTATATGTACTATATTCTGCTGGAATGAAAGGTACAAAAGAAAAGGCCAGAATTAAAACTGAAAGGGGCAAACCTATGTGCCCCAAACAGAAATACATTATTCTACCTACTATTATTTTACAAGATAAACTAAGTAGGATCTTTTTTCAGGTATTCTGCTCCGACCAGGACATAGGGGATGCATCGGATAGCGGTATTGAAGGGGCAGAAGAAGAAAAAGGGGGGAACGGGGATTTAAAGAGTCGCTTACCGAGGTGTTCCAGTCATTAACGAACTGTGGTTGGCGAAGGCTCCGCCATAATAATAGGGCAGACTCTCTCCGTAGTAGGGCATCGTGTCAATCCAATTTGGTGCTCACGTGTGTGGAAAAAAAAACGTATGTGTGTCGTGAGTCGACGTGTTAGGGGACACAGCAGAACCGCGGGTGGACGGCTGTTCGCCGTTCTCGAGGACGACTGAATCGCGTTGGAAGTCGCCGCCGGCGAAACGCGCGTTCTCAGGTGTTCGCGCAGACGTTCTCCGCGGTTCAGGGAGCCAGCATCGACTGAGTCTAAGCCAGCGACCCAGTGTAATAATAGAAGTCTAGTGTACGAGGCTTCCTAGCGTCTCTAACTATACTAGCTGGACTCTAATAACCCGTACAGTCTCTGCGAAACGAATATGTGCATATGCATTAACGTAGGGTGTACGGTGTCAGGCCTCCAAGAACATTGTAATTATCGTAGAATTTGCGTAGGGACCTTGTGATCGTAAACGCCTGTATAAAGGACTGTTGCAGATTTAGGATTGTCCAAGGGGAGTGCCACAATTGTCACCTGTAAAATTATTTTAAAATATCTGGAAGACAGTTTACTCATGATTACGTAAATCCGCGAATGAAAGAACACAGAGACATTGTTTCTGTTTAGCAAATAGAGGGGGAGTCATTAGAGGTATTTTGAAATTCTGATTATTGGCAGAACTTTCAGTGGACTGTAGCGGTATTCTTCTATTGTCGTAGACAGTGTTCTTCAAATCATTGGAATGGAAATTAGTGTTGTAGAAGATGCGTTTGATTTTTCCCAATGTTTGAAAACCTCATACAGCATGCAGAAGCGTTCACACAAATAAGCAAGCTGAAAACGCCCAGACTGTGTACTGTTTCGCGTTGTGTTGTCTAGTCGGGTCGTGTAAAACGCGAAATTTATGCGAAACACACACAAACATACGTATAGCAAGCACGCTGACGAATCGTTTCGCGTTGTTTCGCGTTGGACTCGTGGTTCCCCGCGCCAAAATTCTTCTTTCTCTATTGTTGCTTGTACAGAGAAACTTGGAAATAGCCGGTCGAACAAACCGCTGTTTCTATTCTCGGACGAATAGACAATTTAATATAGAAATGGACATGTGACTTTTTGGTCTGAAATTCGAGTCGACGCGACGAGACGAAGGGGATGAGTGAATTTATTGTCTCGATGAAATACCAAATGAGTTTAAGTAATATTTCATATTTCGGTAACTGTATACACACATTTGAGAAACGAGTGAATTTCACACTGACACCTTTTGGGTATCTTTTATTGTAGCTAAATCGTGTCTGGCTTGAAATATTTACAACATTTTTCGGAAGTCTATCGACGAAACTCGAGATCAACGAAAATTACCCGTTATTCAAAACGCGTCAAGATAATTGACAAGCTTTTCTGGACTTACCGTCGCATTTCAGACCCTGACGGAACAGCCCGTACAACATGGATCCGCAATGGTCGCAGAATGTTGGCGACATGAAGGTGTGAGTGCGAAACCTGTGAGGCACATCTACCTTGAAACGCTCCCGCAAGTACTGCCATTGAACACACGCATCGGTAAGAATTAAAATGTTGAAGAAACAGTGGCAAATTGGAAGGATCCATCAGAGAACCAGCATGGTCTGTGACATTATCGACAATATTAAGGAGACGATCTTCCAGTAATACCACTACGATAAACGCTCACTCGAACAGTTACAGAAACTTTTGATAAATTACAGGCTTTTTCTGGTGCCTAAAATTGCTGTCGAAGAATTCCTAATTGAACGTCGACGACCTCGACCAGCTGGACACTGAGAATCCGGTAGAATTCCGCTAGAGCAAACACGTCCACGTGGATACTCGAGGATCGTGAATGGAAATAGAAGGCTAACGCGTTTCATATAAATCTTGAACCGTCTAACGATCCAGAAGCCGTGTTAGATCTCTCTTTCTCCCTCGTTATACCCCGCGGAGATGCACGAGCTGCAACGCTGTGCAAATAAACAAATCTCACCAGCGGAATTCGCTGGCTTTTACGCTTTCCGCGTAGATCGGCCGCGTTCGAGGAACCTTTGCTCGATATTCGATTAAATCCAATGGAAGACGGAGATCCTCCCGCCGGGATATCCACAGGGAAATGGTTGGTCCACTGCAGCGGACGAATCTATGATCAATTGGATACTTACTATCGTGTTCTCGGATTCCCTGCCACTCTCTGGACACTTGGTTAACAATTTGTCGTGGCACTTCTTATGCACCGCGGTCTGACAGGCTGAAACGTGAGATTACATATATTAACAGACACGTAAAGTGAGATTTTAAATTAATGTTCTTTATGAAAGCTGATATAGACGCTGTACTTGATTGGTGGATCTAGAAAATACCATATAGATTCTAATATCTCTAGCAAGACTTCTTTTATGGTTCTACAGTATTCGGTACAATTTTTTTAATTTAATTTTAATCAATTGGTCTCAGGATATCAGACTCTTCCAGTTTAACCGAGATTTCTCGATTTTACAATGCCCCACATATGTTCCGAAATTTAATTGGAATAATTTTTGTTCCCAGGATATCATACCCTTCCAGTTTTAACTAGATTTCAAACGGTCGTCTCGGAGGGTAGTTTTCCCGCCATAAGGACCATTCGAACGTATAGGTATATATTTACCTTGGCACTGGTAGCCCTGTTTCCCGAATCCCCTGCGACAGAAAAACGGCACACTTTAGACAGATTAATCGACGGACACACACTCGCGAGCGAAGTGGCCGATACTTGAATAATGCTCGACTATTTTTAGACGTCTCTGTATCGAACCGCCGTTCCGACGCTCTGTTTTATGATAAATCGGGATATATGGGCTGTGCGCTGTTAACTGCGGCCAACTGCGCCGTTAGACACCGACCACATTTTGATAAACTCGCGTGTTTACTAGGGGGAGTCTTCGCAAGCTTCGTTCGCCAATGGATTTATAGAGATAAGTAAACTCTCGAGATCGGATACGATAGATTATAATCTATTGAGTATAGCTTAAAAGTTAATGAATTTTTTCCAGAGCAAATGTTAGAGTTACCAGAGAAAATCCTTGCAAAAGGCGCAGAAGGTCGGCGTCCGGAAGAACTTTGCGACCAGTTTGTGGCCCCTGACAACGTGCACCTTGTTGTGCTTCACAGCGCCCCTTCGCCTTGTGATCGCTCCCTTAAAGTTGTTCTCGTGTGTCAGCGACGGTGGCGCCGAGGTCACGTCCCTTCTAGGCACCCTTGTCTTGTACACATATGTCCTGCCGCTGGACGTAGACGGCGGCAGGTCTGCCGGGTTCAGAATCGGAATCCGTGTCCTGAAATTGAACGATTCGGCTTAAAAACGTGTATAACCTCCTTATTTAGGCGTTGAAAAGTCCCAGATAGCGCATGACACGCAATAACGCCTTGAAGACAGCTAAAGGTGCCTTAAACCTAAAATGGCCGTAAAATGGACGTCTTCAAGGCGTTATATGCTATCTGGGTTGTTGTCCTGAATAACAGGAGAATATTAGATGCGGAAAATTATTTTCTCTCTTTATCATTAACCCTGTAATTGTAAAGTGTAAGGTCCAGGTCGTATCCGACCCCACCTTACTCAGTACGGCCTTAAAACCCACCTTACCATTAGAGGGTTAACGATTACTTATGGGTACACCTGGAGTAAATGTCCCAATTATTGTCACTACATTTATTTCATTTACTAAAAACATAACGACCTATAAAGAATTTCATAGAAAAAATTTTATTATTAAATTGGGACACTTGATTTGAGCGTCAGACATTTTTTGTTAACGAAAGCGATGTTAAATAATATTATCTTCCAAACTGTGACGATTTTTGAGTTAAACAACGCGTGCAATAAATAAATAAAGTTAGGCTACTATTTTAAGGTGGCAGTAATTAGGACATCACATCCTGAATGACAGTAGTGTTCGTGAACGTGTTTACGAATGGAAACATGTTCTATTCTGTCCTCTGTTTAAATGACTGCGATTCCCTTCGACTTTACGTACCGAGCGGCTCACCTGTATGTGTATCCTTCCGCGGCCACGCGAGCTTGCGGGCTCCTACGGTCCGCCGCGGAGGACTTCCGGTTCGAGGTGGAGCCGCCGCCTGCGTTCCGTCTCTTCGCGTGTGAGCCACCGGTGAACATCATCTTGCACTCTGATATTCACTCCTCTCGTGGTTTCAACGCCAATAAATCTTTGTTCGTTGTCATTGAAACCGCCTGGTCGTCCATTAACACGCGTACGATGCCTTCTACCGTTCAAAAGTTCCGCCTAACCTAACTTTTCAAGTTTCCGGCGCGCGACGCTCGAATTCGGCCAGCAGCATCTTCGCTTGGACACCTCGATAGGCATCGTTCGATCAGGTCACGTTGATTTCCGATTCACATGTTCCCTCTTTTTATAAAAAAAAAAAAAAGAAACAACAGTCAACTAGGAATTAACGGTTGAATATTTTCAAAGGTACGACACACACGGAGCGTCCGGGGAGTAGGTAGAAGAAAACATTGGCAATCCTCGCGAGCGATGGACAACTATCAGCATCGAGTCGGAAAGTTGGCAACCGGCCTTTTCGAAGACACACAGAGGGCCCCTGTCCCTCCTGTCCTTGATGACAATCTAAAAAAAGGTGTAGACTATCAAAAATCCACGCTGCTGCTGCCTCGACACTGGTATTCCCCTCTCGCTCTTCCCCTCACGGGCTTTGACAAATCGGAAGGGTGACTAATTCGCGGAGGTGGAAAACGTTACGTTGTCGAAACAACACGGTGGGGCCACTTGGACGACGGTACGACGAAAACTGCGCTCCCCTTTTGGAATCCCGTGTGGTCTGAGATCCGTGACGATCTTCGTCGTTCGTGGACGCGGTTTCATTGTCTTTACTCCCGACGGGATGATGATGTATCACGACCAAATGTAGCTGGTAAACGTCAGCCAAGCTCGGCACGTCTCTTGGATAGAGGACACACATAAGTATATTCTGTTCGATTCACCGGGGACTTCCAGACACGGCGATATCGCGCGCGTACCGGTCACACAGGACGCGAATCGAGGCCCATGGATCATCGGAACGGTGTTGTCGGACACAGGAACTGGATTTTGACGCCTAAAACGTTGTAGGTTTGCGCGAAACTCTCGAATCTATAAATATCAGCCTGTTGAATGCCGCCCGCCATCGATCCCCCTAGCGCCGCGCGCGGAAAATATTCTAGATCGCCTGGTGGTGTCGATGCGCGGCCTCCAGCCTGGAGGAATTCGACATAGGATCTTAATTTACCTATTTATCATTTTTTTTTTAGTTAAATTATCTTACGACGAATCAGAATATCAACCGTAGTGCAACCTGGATTGAAAGGGAATTATAAAAAAGGATGAATGCTGATTGTAAATATTTTTATGCAAACGTCTGTATTTTTCTGTAATTAACGATGTGTACAGTGTAGTTCTGTTCTGTATGTAGCAAGGTACACAGAGAAACGAGTAGTCACCTCTGGATCGTATCTGTGGATAGAGCGTTAAGTAATGTTTTTCTTTCTTTCTTCTTCAGTTCCCTGCGTGTCATCACGATTATCATGACTGTGGCCCCCCTCCTGACAGGCGGTGGTAACTCGTATAAAGAGACACACGGTACGCACGCGGGGTAGCATGTTGATAAATATTGCTAAGCAAAATCGTTAGAGAGGAGAGCGGCCCCGAACACACACACACACACTCACGCACACACACACAGCCTTTCAAGTTTGCCCACCGACGAGTAAAACCAGACCCCCTACTTACGGTCCTTTTTTGCCGGCGCTATTTACAAATTAAAGTACAAGTAGTTACACAATATTCGTTCGTGCGATGACACGGGGTGGTTCGCGTTCGTTTCTATATTTCTTTAGTTGTGCTCGCAAGAATGTTGAACAAGATTCACGGGCGTGTGCAACAGAATCGATTTTCCTCGTTGACGTGGGCGGGTCGGGTAGGGGTAACGTGCATCGAGCTCCTCGTCGTTTTCAAACTACGCGCGTTAAATAAAGGTAGACTAACAACAACGCTTTCTTACAAAGATATCGTTTTATTCCTATGACCGCGATCGGAAAAATGGAAATCTAGATCAACGCGAGTATCGCTATGACAAAATGTTGCTGATAATCCCGTTTGCAGAGAATCTGTTAAAAGTAAGACGCTACTCTGCTTTCCTGATTCCTATTAGTCCCCCCTCCCCCTTTACGGTGTTATTTCCTCCATGATTCGTCGGTATCAACTATATTATGCTATTATCAAAAATCTCTAACTAGTGACTCGCGTGTAGACCAACGCATTCATTAAAAAAGAAAAAGAAAAAACGCCTCGAAATTCCATGTAAAAAGAAAACTTGTATCAATTGGGAATGATTAGAAGAGGCATACATATATATATTATATATGTATATATTCCGTAACCGCAAAATCAGAATTAATGATCATCGATGCGTCTGTACGAGATAAAGGGTGAAAGAAGAGCTACGATTTCGTTTTCGTTCTGCTTGCTGCCTTAGAAAAAAAACAAAAACCCCAGGCACACCTCTGCCCACGGAATCAAGATCTAAAAAAACTTTCAAGGGAAGGCACAAATCATAGCCATTCTATTGCGCACGGTGTACTAGATAGGGCCTGATAGCTTGAAACGTTTCATCGACTCTTCTCACGCGTCAGCGACCGTGCTCGGTAACAAAGAGCAAAGGTTGTCTGGGGATGATTGAACGATCGTCAGTGATCGGCCGCGACCTTCTTCGGTTGGCGTTCCTGCGCGCGTTTCAGTCGTTGCTGCAACAGATTGTGCAGCTGCTCGATCTCCTTCGGTGCCGCTTGAACGATGAAGATCCGTATGTCCCCGTGCACGTCCATCGCCGTCAGTCTCAACGACTTGGGCGCTGGTCGTTCCGCCGTCATGCCAGGCCATACTTTTGTGTTCAATATTAATCTCTGGGTGCCCGCGGTACGGCCCACCAAACGGGACTCCTCGTCGTCGCGGTCGTTCAATCGCAACGTGCCCCGTCCCCTTTCCTGCCAACCGCCGCTGGCCTTATCGAACGCGAACAGTTTGCAGTTTATCTGCAAAACATTTGTCTCCCCCTCCTCGCCGGTCAACGGTGTCACCTCACTGTATTTCCGTTTGTTCGCGCGGTTTGCCTCCTCTAACTCCTGCGCAGCTTGAGTTAACGTCAGTCCCGGTCTGGTCGTCGGACGACACGTTGCCGGTGCGTTCGAGAACAACAGTTCAGAAGAACAACCGTTCTCGTTGGTGCTCTCCTCGTTCTTCTCTTCGCTCTCCGGATTCGTCGAGCTCTCTGTGTCGTTGGCCACTACCACGCGTTCCTTCAAGTTCTGACCGAAGACGAAGCTGGGTGCTGAGGTACACGGTCCTACCGCGTTATCTACATTATTACTTTCGTTATCCTTTGTGCTAACACCCAGTGGCAGAAACCTGCACTGTGTATCTTCTGCAGGTTTCTCTTCGGTCTTTGTCTCCTTTTCTGTCTCTTTCTCGTTCACTTTTACTTTCTCCTTTTCTTTTTCCATTTGCTGATCCTTCTCCGCATCTTCCACCTTCTTGTTCTCGTCTGTAGTTTCGTTCTTCTCCTCTGGGGAATTGTCTGCGACCTTTGCGAACGGATTTTGGAATTTCGCTGGCTGTAGAAATGATTTGTTCGCGGGTTGACTGTTTGTCACTGCTCCCAGTTGAGAGGGCCTCAGTATCGATGTCTTTCTCTTATTAGCAAAGGATTTGGTAAAATCATTGCTTCCGAACTGATTGCCAAACTTTGAAGCAGCTAACATAGGGTCTACAACCGAAGTGTACGAGTTACTTTGATGATTTGTGATTGCAATGTATATATTTTAGTAGTGTTAAAGATTAACTTACAATGTGGTTTCGTGGGAGATTTGTTAGAACTGGATGATGACTCCTCTGTGTCGTTATCTGTTGGAGGAATATCCATTTTTTCTGAAACAATTCAACAGTTTAATCTGAATTCAAGTTCCTACACTATAACCTATGTATCGGGTAAGAAATGATGTGAATGATAGATAAAGTAAGCCTAATTTACGTAGCACGTACAAAAAACAAAACCACTGTACAACAAGCTACAAAAAAAAACAGTTACACATTTGAAGCAAAAAGCATCGGAATGTATTTACCGCTGGTTGCATTTTTAGACGATTCCGTCGACGGTTCCTGCGGTGGATCTACCTTTAAAATATAAGACGGCCTGTTCGTCTCTTCGTTGCTCTCTAGAGAAAACACGAAACAAACAATTAGAACGATTGTCAAACAATGTTGGCTAGCCAATCTGTCGAACAACACCAATGCAAATAAATATTAAAACGGTTCGAGAAACACTGGTACTTTTAGGGAAACTCGATACCGAGAACACCTTACAAATCGTTATTTATTAATATTTCATGTAATTCTGCACGGTTTATCAACAGTTTATTATTTACTTGGAAAAGAATCACAAAACGCACCCTTGCAGTCCGCCATTTTTTACGTGGAAGTGATTACGCCGCTGCCACTGTCATCTATCGGTATTCTTTGGTAGCTATCACAAAATGGCAGTTTGGAGCAGGGGTTCTTAATTTTCCTGGATTGTGAGGACTATCAACTTATAGGAAAAGGTTTCGATTAATTATTAAATGTCATAGCAATGGGAAATCAGTTGAATATCAATTTTATTATATATACTTTCGAATACGGTACTTGACGTGATTATATTAATTTAGCTTAACGTAAGTCAGGTTTCACAGCAGTCACCCAGATTGGTCAATTTTATTAAACACCATTAAAATTAAAAGCATAAAATCCATAGTATAGTAATTGTTAAGGTTTATTCGTATTCGAGATGGCCTCAAATATACAATAAAGCCACAGTGCTAAAAAATAAAACTTATTCATGTCGCATCAAAAATGGAGCTATGGGAAAGTTTGCTCTACTATTGTGCTATTCATCGAGAACTAAAGAAATTCAATGAATTGTTCACCAATTTTATGGTACGGTGATTCAGTATTATGTTTTATTTTAAAGAATAGGAAAGAAGGGCTTTGTGCTCAAATTTATTGGAAGAAGGTACAGTCCTGTTTGTCTCAAAATCAGCCAATGGCAACAGTCTGAGTCGCCATGGCTGTATTCCAAGCTAAGGGAATCTAACGTGAACAAATAATAGACTTACTTCGAATTTCTGTAAGTTTCGTTATAATCACGGTTAATTTTTTGTTAATTCTTTTCAAAGTATATCCTTAATATTGAAATTATTTCAGAACAAATTTGAAAATGAATAAGATTTATACAGATACCCTTTTATTACGTGCCTAACGCCGCGAATTTGTGACAATTTGTGATGACGTCATCAACTATCGCCTTTTCTCGGCCTCTTGATAAATGTCTATATTTCTTATAAATTTACATGTTTTACAGACAGATTATCTAAACTTTTGCTGTAATTACTGTCCAAGCGTCGTATATGAGTGAAGGACACTAAAAAACAGTTCGTTTTATGTTCTTCAATGCAATAAATAGACAACCGTTTTGAATTTATTTATATAGATTTATAGCACTTCTTCCTCTCAGTAGTAGTTGCTTTTATTATTACTTTAACGGAATTATCGATGCACACCATGATAAGACAACGATTATAGATTTTTTCATTTGTGAAAGGTCTTCGTATCCTAAAGTTATCCGTAGTCATCGTCGCGTGGTAAGAAGGCGAAGAGTGGGAGATATTTAAACGACGATATTCCGACGAAATTTTAGCAGTCTCGTGTAAAACACCTCGAGGTCAACGTGAATTTCTGTGTGTCCTACGAATCTCTGTACAAATCTGGCAAAATGTCTCTGGACGAAGTAAGTTTGACCTTTGTACTTAGTGTATTCCTCAATCAATGACTTTATTGGAGCTGTATTATCTTTGTTTATTCATTTATATTTAATAATTTTACCTAAGACAATGTATGCATGGTATTTATTGCTTCGTTCTCTAGAGATTCAACAAAGCAGCAGAGGAAGCTAAGGAGCTGAAATCTCAACCTTCGGACAGTGACCTGCTTGAACTGTACTCGTTATATAAACAGGCTATTGTTGGGGATTGTAACACACGTATGTAAAATAAGTCTTAATCCTCTTGATATGTCCTGTTTAGTTTTGTTCCTGTATTGTAGAAAGTGTTCAAACATTATCGAATTAAGCATAGAATTCATCATTCAACTGTTTGACCTTTGCACTGACTTCAATGTGTACGAATATAGCAGGCAATAAATCTTTATTTGCAATTCTAATTACAAATGAATACTAACGACCATGCATAAACATAACTTAAAGCTAATAATAATATGGTTCCTGTGGTAAGATAGTATTTCCATGTATTTTTAGATAGTTTCAATCTTTTTTAGTATCTACTGATTTTTTTCCAGCGAGGCCGGGCTTGTTAGAATTTAAAGCAAAAGCCAAATGGGATGCTTGGGATCGCAAGACGGGCATGGGTCAAGATACCGCGAAGGAACTGTACATTCAGAAGATGGATGAGGTAATCGCCGTAATCGGGAAGAAATAACTCATTTGCACAAGATTTTTTTTGCACCAACGTGTTGTGTGGGCACTATGTACTCCTTCCACAGATATTTTACCGTATTTTTTTAAGGTGAAATTTCTTACCAAGTGTGTGTGTGTACTTCACAGAGGTGTACAATTATTATGCATATCCGTTTTGCATACATGAAACTGCAATGATTGCGAAAAACGTTTAAATGCTTTTTTTTATACCGATTCAAATACGTATTGAAAACCAGCAATGCTCAGAGGAATTGATGATTCAGTTAAATCAACCAGAGATCTCATACCATGACAATTAAATTTATTCTGTTATCGTGGATTCATCGTTTCCAACTACACTGTTGTTGGTTTGATATATATACACTTTAGGATACCTTTTTTTATACTTTTTCACGGCGCATAATGACAAAAGTAATAAAAAAAAACAACCGTTCCTTTTTTCTTCTATTTTTTTCGCGTCACTTGTTTGTAGTTGCAAATGAATTAGGCGAATCCATTGCATGGATTACAAGCTTTTTCAATAAAAGAAGAATAAACAGAAACTTCTTAAAATAAAACCAGTACACACGTGTCCTGAAACCGGTCCCATGACCCGTTCCTCTGTCTTAAAAAACAATGTCGACCTGTACACTGGTGGTTTTGGAATCAACACAAGAATAATGAGATGATGTTAGTGTGTATTAATCATGTATTTTTTTTCCACGTAAGTTTAACATTTCTTTCTTATCATTATATACACATACGCAAGAGACTACCTAAGAGAAACAATAGGATTACGACACTTAAATGTGTTTTTTAGGGAAACGTTTCCGCGACAGAACAGAAAAACTCCTTAGCCCTCTGTATCCTTCTTTTACCGGGGTTCGACTAAAAAGAAGAGGAACACATTTATCATCAATTCATCATCCATATATCGTGTGGAACGTTCGATCATGACGAGGAAGGAAAGTGTCCACCATCGGATGGTCGAGTGTTTATTCGAGTAATTAAATCTACACAACAACCGCGGTTACAAATTGTACACGAAGAGACATACAATTTAAAGGAGCACTGGTTATGGCTGCGATTGATACGTTTTTAAAATAATTATATAATTATATCCGCGTCTCTGTGATGATTGGTCTTTCCACAGGTCCGATTCATTCAGTCCCAGCATGTTTCCAAAGTTCTCTCGACGCGACTTATACAAATATTACATAACTTATGAGATAATGAACTGATTAGCCGTCTATAAAACTAGGACAAACCGAAACTTACCGTATACAAAATGTTCAACGGTGTCAAATTTTCGATTAAGAAACGAGAAAAAGCGGTGTTTATCTTGGGAGAGAAACAAAAATGACGGTGCACAGTCTCTTCGTTTAATTTTGACGCTCTCCAAGAAAACAGTGTGTTGTCAAGAGTTTTTTTCTCGAACAAGTACAACTTCACAACGAATTTTTCTCGGTTTTTATTGATCGAAAGGAACCGAAAATATAATTGACCAGATTGCGATAGCTAAATTAACAAAACAGAGGACTTCGTTTCTTCGCGCAGGCTCGCCTTTTTCTTCCTGAGAGGGGGAGTGGGGAACCACAACACCGTACACACGTTCCCTTATTCTGAACGACAGCGTAGTAGTAATAAGCAGAGCAACGTTAATCAGGAAAAGAAACGGAAATTTACATCGGCTTCGCAGTGGTGTACACATATGTATATGCATGTAACGTGTGCTTGGGTGTATATGTGTGTGTTTGATTGGAAAGATGAAGAGACCAACGGAAAGAAATAAAAAAGATTTAACGGAAGAGAGAAATGAACGTAGAGAAAAAGGCTGCAAGAGATATGGTGGGCCTCTATTTTCTCTTACTCTTGTCCGTGTGCTTCTTAGTGAGAATCGGATGATGGTGGGTCTTTATTCGGCTAGCCTTCAGATGATCGTCGTGGACCGTTCTTGTGTTCTGGTGACCGATCGTCGAGCTGCTGGAATTGTCGGTCCGCGGGCGACTGGTCGATGCCGACTCGTCAAACCTGTGGTGAAAACAGAGAGAGAAACGGTGACGGGAACACGGAAGCTCGGTTGTTCGAAACTGTTAATTCGTGTTTTTTTTTGTTTGCAACTGCCTCGATCGCTCGAGCTAAGAGATCCATAATCCACTGTCATCGAATTGCGCCGGAGTAATCGCTGACTCTATTGTCGTTGCTGTATGGTATGAGAAGAATATGTGTATGGTGTGCATAAAGGAACATGTATTATCATTAGACTGTGGAAATCTATGCAGATACATATTTATAGAAACAGATTCGTATTCATCTTCTGAAAGATTCGATCGCGTTCCAAACAATATGAAAACTTCCACCAGGATTTATTAAACTTTTTAACACACTAAGTTGTGTGTGTGTAATAAATGCATAAATTCCGCAGTCTAATTATTATTTTCTCTCTCTGGATGATCATGTGTGTACATAGATCATGGAGGAGTGTGCTTCGACTTGCGGCACTGAAGTTTACAAAAAGGGAACAGAAACATTGGGACGGAATTCGAACGAAAAGTGGACGAACAAGACGAGAAAGGGTGTGTCATAGAATATAGCCGCGGAGACGACTCGTCGAATAAACGGATCACGCTTTTCTCTCTATATTCTCTCTCTCTCTCTCTCTCTCTCTCTCTCTCTCTCTCTCTCTCTCTCTGTGTGTGTGTGTGTGTGTGTGTGTGTGTGTGTGTGTGTGTGTGTGTGTGTGTGCGCGCGCGTGTGTGTGTGTGCGCGTGTGTGTGTGTGTCAGGTAGATAATAGCAGGAACAACGTCTTTGTAGAATCGTAGAGATATTACTCGCAGACGTGAACGACGACAGGAATATTTCTCAATTTGCTGAGCGTAGATCGGGGCGAGTCTTGGTTTTTTTTGTAGAGATCTGATTTAACTGTACGTTATTGATTGTGGCACGCCGTTCACAGTCTTCGACTTCAGCACATCGTTCTCGTAGGACATTATGATCTCCTTGCCGTTCTCGAAAACCCTGTTGACAAAAATCACACAAATACGTTCTCCAATTAGTTTTGTATTCTCTGTTACAAGCCAGCCACAATGCGCTGCTGTTTCAAAACTGATATTTCGAATATCGATACAATTCGAATGTATCGCCATCTCACTACTCCACTCACTTCTTGGTGGTGATCTTTTTGCCGTTGATGAATCTAGTCGAGGTGCTTGTTTTCTTTACAGCGCCGCCGCCACCGAAACCACCACCGCCGCTGCCGCTGGTCCCGCCGAAGGTCGTGAACGTGTTGAACGAGGTGAAGTGGCCCGGTGCACCTTCGAAAAGGTTGTTGAACGGTGAAAAACCGATGCCAAACGGATCGAGGAAGGACGTACTGATGCTGTTACTGCTTGGATGGCTATGCCTGTGGAATCCTCCATTGAGGTCTTTTGGGACAAATTAATAACACCCCGTTAATCACAACATGTATCTCTCTCGATCAACACAAAAAACGATCTTTATTATTATCACACAGTTAATCACTCGACAAGTTTCTTTTTTTTCTCGGGATCATATTGTATTCGTACGGAAACATTCATTGGTTGCTTTGTTACTCTACAAGGTGTGCACACTTCAATGGAGGTGTGTGTCCTGGTAGTAAATCTTCTGGGGTTTACTTACCACTGGACATTTTGTATAAATCCGCGAAAGGTGCATCGGCGAAGAATTCTCTGAACACTTCCGCTGGATCTCTGAATACGAAGGTGCTGGTGTAGTGTGTATCAAAGTCGTCATGGTGTCGCCTCTTGCCGCCAGGCATTTGAAGACCCTCCTTTCCATACTGATCGTAAACTCGCCTCTTCTTTTCTGTAAGACGTACAAGAAAAATATCATTGCGGTTGTTATTGTCTTTCATGCAACAGGGGAAAGAGAAATGCTCTTTTGCTTGGTATGTTTTAGAATGCTCCAAACTCCAAGAAGCAGGTACTGCAAGGCTTGCCATTTGTTAGTGGAGTAACTGCTGAATGGATCTGTATCTAATGTCAGTCGATGATTCTTCACCGTAACAAGTAAAATCCTTATAGCAGAGAGAACAACTGTGGATATAAACTAGGATACTCCTACACAATTCCTTGAAGTATCATCCAGAACTATATTCGAGTACTATGTACAGGTTAGGTTTCTTCTTATATATTTTGGAAATCTAATTGACTCGTCTAATAATTTTGGAAATATTTTTTCAGATGGAGTTCCAGGGTGTTCCTCTAAGTCGTTCTCTCCTTCTGTGTGTCAGTCAATCAAGCCAATTGTTAGAAGTATGCAGCAAGGTACAGGCAACTATTATTCGCAAATTAAGGGCGCCTCATACACCGTGTGAAAGAGAGAAGCAAACAAAAAAAAATGTGTCTTTTCCATGGAGGAATGACGCGTGGGCGAATGACCATCGGAGAAACTCCATCAGAATCTTCCTTAATCCTCTGTTTGATCGAAACCACATTATCGAAGGCAGTCGTGATTAAAGTGTTCCCGGGGTCAGGAAGAAAAAAAAAGAAAAAAAAAAGAAAGAAGAAACAAACCGATATGGTGAGAATGGATAAAGAAAAACCAAAAAAAAAAAGAGTATAGGTAGATGATAGAAAACAACGTCTGTGGCCACTCTCTCTCAAAGTCTTTCTTTTTTTCTTTGTATGGTACCGAAAAATCGATGGAAAGCAGAGTCAAAGTAATTCCGGCAGGTGAATCCACGGCCGGGCCTCGACGACGCCTTCTGATACAATCGTTGGTCGTAGGTTCGTCTCTTCGCATCTGGACACCGAGCACACACACGGTCATTGAGAGATCGTCCGGAAAAAACAAAGATTTCTGATTGAATTTATTTTTCAGGTCCCACACCACAGCTCGACTCGTCGTCGTCGTCGTTCGTTGTCGTTAATCATCACACACAGCGATGCTCTCTCTCGGCTGAGACCGCACCGTTTAGGTTGCTTCTCTAGTTTCCTGTTTTTTTTTGTCGCGTGACTCTATACAGAGAGAGAGCACAGAAGAATGGCTGACCAAGTTCCGACTACACCCTGGTAATGGTAACTTGTCAAGCGGATGACGTTGAAACAGGAAACTCAAGAATTGAGGACACTATGGGGAGCTGCGAGTCATTCTACTGTACGAACGACCATTATTATTTTTATGGTAGTTTTTAAATTGATATTGTTACAGTTACAGAATATACCCAGGGTGGCCAATTCACGAGCCGCAGGCTCTTTTAGACCCTTACTGAGGCCCCCATATACTTGTACAATATTTTTTTTCACAAACTTGACACATACGACGTAGGGTAAATGTCCCAATTAGTGCCACCTCAAGATTATAGCGTAACTTATTATTAATTCCTATATATTTTAAAAATAGTTTTGTACACTGGATATAGGTGCAGTAGTAAAATTTTGTGAGTATGATTTCGCAATCACTTCCTACTTACGTAGTCGCATTTACAACGCTCAAATTGCACTATCATTTTTCAACATTAATTTTAAAAAGTACCAAGTATATACAAGCACATGTATTTAAAAATGTGCCAATCATTGTTGCTTCGCAGCTCCTCTGTGTACGTGGCCTTGAAACACGACCACCAAATTACAAAACTGATCGATTCCCTGTTCTAGATCTCGGTGGTCGAACTGCTTGATCACGAGTCACGCGTTGCTCGGTCCAAGAATAAGTCGTACTAGTTGGAGACCACCATGTGGAAAGAAAAGGCTCATGCGAAATTCGGCTTTGCTGACAAGCACAGAGGAGGCTCTCCCCCGTCCGTTCATCTCATGTTGGCATCGGGGGTAAGGATCTCCCGCCAAACGACCAAGATGTATCGAATTAACCCTAGAGTGATGCGCGTGTGACGCCTCGCCGATGGAGGAGATCACACTCACACAGAGAGTACCGTCACGAACACAAATCTTGATCACTTAAGAGTAACTACCACCATTTCTTCAACGTATTATCGATTAAGTCTATGTTTTATCTTTAATTTGGTATTGACAAAAATACAGAAATAATAATACAATTAAATTAGAGCTTAACTTCTAAGGTAAGAAGTGCGAAGGGAGGAATTTCTGATGGAATTTCGGACCTAAATCATATGTCTGTATCTCATCCTGAGCCACTGAATTTTACGTATAAATTACAAAATAGTTAATAATTATTACTACCTTTTTCGAAAATAATCTTTATTATAATAAACTTATTGTATGGTTCTGATCAGGAACTTTGTTCGTGACGGTATCGAAGAGAAGGACATCATCATCATAAGGTGGAGCTTACCATCGCAGAGCACTTCGTACGCCTCGGAGATCTCTTTGAACCTCTTGTTCGCTTCTTCCAGGTTCTCCGGGTTCTTGTCCGGATGCCATTTTAATGCCAATTTTCTGTACCTGTGAACCAGAGAGCACATCCAGACTGGTCAATATGAAACACTTATGGGTAGACTGCGGATTTTATAAATGAATTTTTAAACAAAAGTAGAGGTTCGGAAAGTTACGTCAAATTTGTTTTATCAATTAAACGTATTAAAAAATAATAATTACAAATAAAAGCTTATGTGTTTGATCAGTTAATACAAAAATTATGCAATAATGTCAGTGTTATTTCTTAAAGTGTCAGTAATTGGGTCTTTTATCCTATATTTGCATAAACATCCGCAGTCTACTTATGGGATATAATACTTCTGAAAAAATGGGCTCTCCGTGGTGACACGCGTGGAGATGGAGGAAGAGGTTTTGCTTTCTGGCACGATGCCAGAAGTGTCGTTCAAAGTAGGGAACTAAAAATCCATTCATTCAATCCTTCCTCGACACACCGTTTAGAAACTAAATAATCAAGCCTATTTCTCCCAGTACTTCGAATAGTTTTGTCGATTATTGAAAAATAATAAGGGAAATGATTTTATAAAGAGCCTCTATTTCTTATTTCAGGGTGGACGATGGACACTTACGCTTTTTTGATGTCACCGCTGGAGGCGGTTCGTTGCACCTCGAGTACCTTGTAGTAGTCCACCATATCGTTCACACACACTATGCTCTCGGATCTCAGGGCTTAGGCAACCACCTGTCGAACAATGGCGAGAGAACAGTTATCGTAATTAGCGAGCCAATTGGCAGGCACGCTACGACCACAACGAGTCGATAGAACAAACGCGGGAAAAATACTACAAAGAGGCTAGGCCCAGTTTCGTTCGGTTGGCAGAGGCCAGCAGCGCAGACGACGCGCTCCCCCTCTGAGAACTATCTGGCTTGCTTGTTTCGATTGAACATTCGAACTAGTGATGAACGATACAGTATCGATATTTCGAATACCAATACTTTTCAATTCAAATATCGACATTTTCTATTGATATTTAATGTGACGATTAGTGATGGGGTTACATTTCAATTGTATCAATGCGTATCGATACCAATTACCAATAGAAATCAAATGTATCGCCATCACTAATTCGAATCTTCCGAGCCTTTAGCGCCCTTCGTGGTTGTCACATCTGGGTAATCGTGAGTCATCGACAACGTCTTGAATATCGATGTTGTTAAGAACCATGATACAGAGGACTTTGTTTTGCCATTCCCCACAAAGAACAGACAACATGCGTGTGTGATGTCATCCATGCGCTTCGGAGAACTGAAGGGTGACAGAACCTATGTCCGAACGAACTTTCACCGAAAGCTCCGTCGACGAAACTTCTCTGACCCTCACCTGTTGCTTGGAAGACTTCTCGAGGGAGCTTTCAATCATAGACTTCGCGATGAAATTACGACAGGGATTCGACTATAATTAACTAAGGAAGTATACTCGAATATTCTGTATCACAGTGTCACCAGGTATTTCCACAGACACGGAGACCGCCAAAGGTTCTCCCGAAAACACGTTGCACTCCATTCAACGCTTCAGCAAAAAAGACAAAAAGAACTAGTTGCCAGCCCTCCGAAATAGCCCCCGTACACACTATGTAGTAATTCCAGCGAACGTCAGAAATATATTCCACCGGGTTAATTTTACCCTCTGTTTTCAAAATAGTCGCGCGGCATCGCGTATAAATAGCGGAACACTCGTGAATCTCTCGGAGGCTCTCAACTGCGCCGCAATCGAGTGCCCGTGTGTATCAATTGCCATCGAGGGAAAATGGAATTTTTCATTATATCAAATTATTCACTCCGCCAATCTCAAAACTTACACACACCGCCATAACGTGTCTCACATTCACGAAAGAATCTTTCTCAACCATTCACCGATCAGCAAACACCACTAACTTGTTCGCCATATCGTCGCAGTCACCACCTGGCAGAAACGTGAAAACCCATCCAGAAACGACGCATGATCGTGTGGTCCAGCAGGGGAAGCGTACAAACTACACAACACGCGGCGTAGGAACCGGTTGCGCGTTTACTGGCGCAGATCTTTCGCCGATGAGACACAACGGAGGAGGAGCGCCAACGAGCGACTGTGGTCCGACGGTGGAAAACTGAAAGTCAAAGACTGGACTAACCGAAAACGCTAAAGTTAGCTGCGACGGTGTATCGAAAATAGTTCGAAACACGGAGGTGGAGGTCATTACGTTATCCCACCTCAGCCTAGCTCTACGTCTCCCTCTCTCACTCTCGCTAGTGGACAGCAGCAGTAATTTGCTTGCATTCTGCCTCGTTCCATTCCAACGGAACTATAGAATGCATTGAATCACTTGCACCGAAACAATACCTGAATCCTCGAGTGGAAAACATAGTTCACAAGTTCCCTTCCCTCTTGAGAGAAAATCGTCGATATCTAGGATTAAGTAGTGGAACTGAATGATTATAAAGAAGAGGATTCCCCGAATACTTGGAAAGTGATCAGTTCCCAAGATTACTTCTCCAGAATTAATTGAAAGAACTGAATGATTATAATTGTATATATATTTTTTAAGGTTCGTTTCCAAAGCAGAAGATTTATGGCCTGAGGAATCATAATCTGCGTCGAATTCGAAGAAAATCACGATGGATCCTTGACTCATTCTGGAGACTATTACAACCGCAGAAGAACAGACGTCAGGGATTCCTATGTTTCGTCACGATATTTCAGTTCGTTACTGTGTCCGAACTGAACCTGTTCGCGTCGACTCTGTGTTACTGGGTGAACAGGACCTGCTAGGCGAACACCGATCATGTCCATACTCGACACGACACGGATCGGGAACACCTCCGTTCGATCGGGTCGAGGATACGTTCTACCGATGCCGCAATCCGGCTTCCGTCAAGTCCACCGCTCCACTTCCTAACCTCGAAATACTGGCGACACCCCATATAACACGGTTAAAGAATCGTGTAGAATGTACTTTTGTTAGTTTTGTTTGGTATATAAACCAATCTTACCTTCTGTATTTATGTACATACTGGTATAATTTAGTATACATGTAGTAATTTTTTAGGAACCGAACCAATAAGTTATACGGGGTGTACCTTCTTAACTGGAAACGATGGAATATTTCCTAAGTTAGAATATTAGGGATATCTCTCAATATTCTATCGCTATAGTAGGAATATCTCCTAAGTTAGAAGATATTCCATCTTTATTCCACAGTTCCATCATTGTTCCAGAGTTCAAAAAGGACACCATGTATACTAATAGAACTGAACGAAGTTCAGTCGGTCCACGGATTAGGAAGCACTCTGTAGCTTATAATAAATCGGTGCGTTCATTGCGAGGAGGATCGCGAGATCGGTGAGTCACGCAGCTTTCGGAGGTGATTTTGGCTTGCAGCCTACACGCGGCTCTTCGATGTCCCAGGTAAAGGCGCGACGGGAGCACACAGTCATCATCGCGACGTGGGTCGTTGTGGGCGGTTTTCCAACAGTTCTACTATGGGAATCCGTGTGTTGTTCCCCCCGAGACCGTTGTCCTTAACGACATATCTTGGAAAATCGCGAACAAGGGCTTCTCGAGGGATTCCAAGAACCTTCCTGCTCTGAGACGAAAAAAAGGAACAATCGATATCGAATAAGAGGAATAAAGTCAGAAGTATCTTTGGAAGACAGAGTTGGGCAGAACTTTATTCGAATAATGAAAAACCAACGGTACCTAGTAGCGTCATCCTAGCTTAATAATCGTTTGACAAAAGTGTCTACTCATTGAAAAGGAAGTATTATTACAAACATTAGAAATTCTACGTTTAATCGATGAGAAAAATAGCGAAGTTTCATTCTATACTCTTTATCATAGATACCGAACGTGACCAGCTATATGTATACAAGTTGGATAAGTTGGAAGGTCATGGATACGGCCTATGGATAAGCTAGAAATTCAAGGCACTTGGACACCTCGAAATTCTTCCGGTTTCGATCACCAGAGCCCAGGAAACATGCAATGTCAACTTTAAGCAATTTCCCGAAGGAACAGCGTCTGGAAACTAGAGTCTTGTTTTAGTAAGGGTCCACGATCGAAGGCCTTGCGGAAGGTTGAAAATCGCGAGGAGAATTTGAGGTTATGTCTCGCCGTCGCGATCCCTAGAGTATTTCTCGATGATTAATTCCCGCGGTGGCGTGTGCAGAGACACACAGCACACGTATCACGAGCGTGACACTTCCCGTTTGCCAGTACGACGCATCATCATCATCGTCATCTCGCCAGGCGATTTATTTAGTCACGAAACCGCTGGGCGGATTTCTGCCGGAAACCGCGGAAGAAACGCGATGGTCACACAGGCGGGGGCCAACGTCTACAATCGATTAAACAAAACCCGCCAGATACGGTTCCCGAGCGACTTTCTAGGCTCCACCACACACGCAAATACGTGGTTCGCAACGCATAGTGTGGTAATTTGTAAATGTTACATATATAGCTAAACTAAAGTTTCAGACAAAAACGTTTAGTCTTCTTATTCCACAGAACTTTTTTGTTTTCAATTTTTTATTCTAGACTGCTTAAAATTTGGTATAAACAAAGAATATGTACATGTATATGTATCAACTTTTTGTAAAATGAAATCTAACTGGATTGGGATTATACCACACTGTGCGATGTGGTGATTGCGGATCGTGGTGGCTCACCACCGATCAATATGACTAAAACAGTTAGTCACGCCGTATCTGGTTTATCAGCGTCGATAAACGAAGCCTCTTGTGTAACATCCACTCTCTCTCTCACCCAGGGAAACTAACCATTCGTAACTTTCTGTAACCATTAGGAAATTGTTAACCTAGAAATTAATCAGGCGGGGTTAGAGTGAACTGGGGATGTTCGATACCCCTTGAATATTTTATTGCAAAACAGCTATTCAGTTATATAATAAGTAATATAAGATTTTCATTTGACCGCAATTAAGGGTTAATATTCGTACAGACTGGCTGGGACCATTTGGACCCCAGTTGCCCTGTTCATAAGTCTTTCGATACAAGTGCTATGGTCAGTTTAGATTAGACGAAATATTTCGAAATCAGGGCAAAACTGACCCATTGCACGAAGAACTATGGATACCCACGATGATCCAATCGTTTCACAAACGATCCATATAGCGTCCATACGAAGTTTTTTTGTCAAGGAAAATCCAACGAGAACGCGTGGGCGACCAATGTACAGTCTTTAGCGAATTAGTCGCGGAGAGAAAGAGAGACAAACGCGTTTACAAAACTCCCCGACCTACGCAGTAGACCAACGTGTATATGCACGCAAAACTGTTCCAAAAGAATTGGTCCTTCGTCCTTCGATCCCCAAAAATCGACGACAAAGTTCCCTTTCATCGTATTTTTTCCACGAAAACTGTTTAAGGATCATCGAACAATACCTGGTAGATTTAGTTTTCCGCAGAAAAAGAACACGAGAAGGTGGGGGGAAGAAAGGGAGGGACAGAGAGAGAAAATGTGGGCGTCCTTTTGCGCTCTCGCGAGGTGTGTGACGTCAGTTTTACATATTCGGGCAGTGTGAGCGATGTACTTATGTATCGAGGAAAAAGGATTTCGCCCAGTGTGTTTGTGTCCACGACAGAAGGACAACCGCCCCCCTCCAGTATTCTTGTTGGTTTGAAATGAAACGGAATGTTCCTTTGTCGCTTCACGAGTCAGAATTTGGGCCCATTGTTCCTCTTTGTCCCTTTGTCCCATGCACGAACGTCCTATAGATCTATATTTATCGTATTAATTCATCAGCGAGCATGGATCCATCAGTGGACTAGGGATCACACGCGATCGAGTCGAAATGACTCGGAGTAACGCCTCCGAGTTTGTTGGGTTCAGAGCGCGGAGGGACCCAACAGCAGCGATATGCGTCTCTAAAATTAACCATGGCCGTCGAAGCTGTCCTAGACCCTTTCATTGGCCTTTTAACCGACATTTTCTAGCCCCGACCTACCGCAACACGTGTGTGTGTTGCGCATTGTCTTCCTAAAGATATACACGCGGCGTGAGCGTGTGGCACGAAGAACTCTCGGGGTGGATTGAACCGTCGCGGTGGCGCAAAAGGACGGAATTTTGAGTGATTATTGCGCAATGTTGCGCGACATGTGTCCGTAATGACTAGTGGAATCTATTTATACTATACACACACTGTGTACGAAGATTGGGGTGTTTTCAACACCAGAAGACCCATCAATTATCAGATGATTGATATCTGTTTTGTGTGAATCTTTATATAATTAGATGTTCCCTGTTGACGATGTTAATTGCTCGGTGAACACCATTGTTCCTCGCGCATAATCGAACTCCATATAGAAGGAACGTTGACGTTCTGTTTGGTAATGAAAAAACGCTGGCTGTTATGAAATTATCGCAACTCGCACATTGGCTACTGGAGAGCCTTCCAGAGCTGAATCTTATGGAATGATGTTTTAGAAAGTACTACGAACGAACTCGAGCAATTAAGTAATGGGAAACAATTAGAAGTCTTGTAGTCTACTTAGAGATTGATTTTAATGTAGTTCTTGGTGGGATCTGCTGTATTTGACGAACAGTTCAGCTTTCATCTATATTCTACAGCTCGTGTCTTCCCATAAAGGGAACAAGGTCATCATAGAATTCTTTAGTTTCTGCCATAATTAATGATACATAAACCATATGCAAGACTCTGTAATAAGAAATTTTACAGAGTTAGAATATATTTCACAGAATCACAGAAAACTGGGAAACTGATTCTCTGTATGTTAGAATTTAACCTCTGTTTGACTGTTTCTCGGTGAAGAATTGTGATTACACAAGGTAGACAAGAATACCCGTAATTAATGTTATATGTAATGGGTTAATATTTGAGAATGGAAGGTACTTATTCCAAATTGAAAAGAATGTACTCAAGGGTAAGCAAGACAAGAACTACAGAAGCTTTCCAAGGGTCAGAGAGAAACTATTGACCTTTAGAAGTTGCCACCGAAGTATCAATCATTGCATTGTACACTCTGCACAATAAAAATATTCTGCAATACAATGCAATAGAATATTGTTAATCTGTGAACTTTCAGTACTTAAATACACAAGGAATTAATCAACTGCACAACATCCACACATTCAGATAAGACACCAAAGATGACTGTACCACAGCCAGCCAATATATTAATGATTCCAAGAAATTCTCATCAAAACAATAACTCATCCCACAGGAACAGTGTGAATAATCTTTTAGAGTTCCCTTCTATGAACAAAACAATCATTCAGGGACAAAAATTCAACAGCCTCTATGCATCCGAACCCTCGGTAATAACGTGCAAACATAGTACGTTGCGTCCGCAATTTTTCTGATAAGAATCTCAGCATTTTTCGTTCTCCTATTAGCAACCTCAACTCCTCCTACTTAGCAACAATGTTCGAAAACATGATTTACACTAAGTGGAGATGACAAGAGTAGTTTCGTGGAAAGCTTTGTAAAGTTGCTCTCGACGTAACTCGTCGAGAGACCGTTGGAAAAAACGCGTTGTCATAGCTTCTAAGTCCTTTGCCAACCACGAGAATGTCTAATCGCGTGATAACAGAACGACAGAACCGTGCTGTTCATGAAATTTCTATGCGGGACACGTTAGTCATGTTTAAGGACAGTTTCCTCGACGACGCAGTTTCCTGCGAAATATTCCGGAAAAAATCACGGTACAACGAATTTGACTCACCGAAAAGTGGCTCCTGTTTCGTCCACGCCAATTACGCTCGGCAACGAATTTCCCCAGGGAAAAGCGAACACCGTTGTTTTCGTTTCGGATCCAGGACAGACACAGTGAACGAGAAGCGACAATCTCGCGAAAAAGCAGAGAAATGCGACGTGTGATGTGAAGTTGGCGCAAACAAAGCTCTCGCGAGATCCAAGATGTCCGACCGTTTCGATTTTTCTAGAGTACCGTTACCATTAACCCTTTATCGATCGGTTAAATTCAATTTCAACGTGGTTTCAATTCAACCGTGGCTTCTTGAACGATCGCTTTTTAATATTCATACAATTGTCATCGTTACGTCTCTACGTAAAGGCCTGAGCGTGATTCAGAGAGAAAGCCTTTCGAATTCTACCGCAACGTTCGTTCGCGTCTACGAACGAGAGTGGCTAGACTGATAATATCAATTTTCGAAGCAGCTTATCAAATATAATAAGAAGAAATAGCCATTGAGTGAATTATCCGTGATTATTATGCCTGAATACTCATCCGTAACTTGGAAATTTAACGATTTCTTTTGCCAACAATATTTAACACTCCGAAGAATTCACTTTTCACCGTGTCACTATCGAATCTCATACCCGATTCAAACTACCGATCACGAACAAGGTAACGGGGGAGATATGTTATCGATGGGAAGAAACGAACAAGACAACGGGTGTCCACGCGATTAAAAATTCATTTTTACCTTCGAAACGATGCAATCGATAAATCAAATGTGGCGCGCAGTTCAAAGCGTCGGTGGCGCCACCACGGAGCGGCGGGTTGCAATGTTCCTCGGCCGCCCGTCGAGATGGCGTTAGTCGTCGGTTTTGCGCACAGTGGCATGGCAGCTTCCGTTCCGCAGAGTGTTTTCAAAGTGCACAAGTGAACACCGCGGTTTCGTGAGGTCGAGTCGCGCCGGCTGCACCAAGTTCGTTGGAATCAACAACAACGAAGAATCTCGTGTCATCGGTTTTTCTTTTGGTGCGCGCGTTTGTGGGGTCTTGTGTGTATGCGTGTGTGCGTGTGTGTGTGCGTGCGTGGGTGTGTGAGTGTGTGTGGGGGCAGGGAGTGCGACGCCGTGAGGTTGGCGTTTACTCCGTCATACGAACGAACGAACGGTCAAAAAAACCCTACCGTCACGGTTACGACGTGTTTTTGACTCGTGCAGGAGTGATTTTGGTTTGAACTTCCTGCCACTGGGAATGTTGAAGGACTCGCTTCTCGTTCGAGCATCCTGCCAAGAGGTGGGTAAGTTTTACTGTTTCTTATCCCCTCCCCTCTTGTAGATTGTATAGATGTTTCTGTTCCGTCGATCGAGATCACGACAGGATCGAGAAACTGGTTTTTCTCGTGTATCGTCCTGATCTCGAAGGACTCTGAACGGTACTGGCCGAGTAACATTTGCATCATCGCGTTGGACGTGTCCCACGAATGGCGGTGTGCGACTATCGATCCCGATGTCGTCCGGCCAACCGAGGCCGCGTCTTCGTTTCGAGGTCACCGGGACTCGAACCGCCAACCCTCCACTCTCGATCTCGATATCTTCGATCTCCCTTTTCTCGCGAATGTATGTATTTATCTACGTGGGCCCCGATTACACCGGAAGTCCGTCACGATGTATACTATGTATACCTCTATGTAACCAGGAATTGTGTCTAGGATCTACACGATGATCCAAAACGAACTAGGACTGATTTGTCTGTATATCGTCGATAGAGGATTTTCCCTTGGGTCTCGATAGGTTATTTATGGTCCTGCTTCGACTTTATCGGGGTGATTTTGAACCTGAACGATCGTACGATTTTGTAGGGATCTTCGAAACTTTTCTTCCTAGCTCGAAAGTGTATACAGTGAAGCACTTTCGAATTTCACAGAAGAATTCCAGACTCGGAGGAGGATCGAGCCAAGAATTACGTGAATTTTGGCGCATAAGTTATATAAATGACAACACGGAATCATCGTTTGAACTGTGTCCTAATTTTAGAGGGGCCGAATGCAGACGTTCGATCGGAATCGCAACCCGACCACGGAGCCACTTACGATCACCTTGACCGTGATGTGAACCTGGTAATCCGTCCGTGTGTGTCGTAATTTTCAAATCCCATTCCCGCCCCTCGATGTCCAATGGAAGGTGCTGGAGTCACAAGAGGGAGAGAGGGAAGACCCTCCTTTTAAACTAAACACTTCTGTGGCGGTAGGACCAATCTTCAGTTCAATTATTATTTTTCAGCTTGAGAAATGAAGATTAACAACAAATTGATGTAAACAAATTTCCTGTACCCAGTTCCATCTTTAATAGGACTTAATGCTCTCTTATTATTCAATGCACCTTGACTCTCGAAGACCGAGTTGTTGCTTTTCAGTCCACGCCTCTCTTTGGACGCGTGTCGCTTTAGTGGGGAGATAATTAATTTCAATTAATATACTGGCCAGTATAACCCAATCGATTCCCGTTGCCTGAACGAATCCAATTTTAAGATCGAATTACCGGTATGTTTGCCGATCGATACGGACGAGACGCGTGAAATGGGAATGGAAAAAACTGTCGACGACTGCATTAAGGGCACACTTTCATGTAAATATTTTCCTGGATTAAAAAAAAAACTATAATACTTGGAGTAAAAATTCTTGCTGGCATATTTTACATGAAAATGTACTCTTAATTGGCGTGATCGTGGAATTTTCCACGACAAATATTTCGAACAGTTCAGGTCCGCGGCCTTATCAGACGTTAAACAGTTTCTAATCGGTAGAGGACAACAACACGCGATGGAAATTAGTTTGTTCCGGTTTCCTACGTATATTTCTTCACTGGATTGTTACATTACCGATTTTTATTATGTTCTCGAGCCCCCAACGAACACTGTTCTTATCTATCGTCCATGATTTTGCAATTCTCGGTGAGCTTATCGTAGAAAGAACAAGTTCCACTCTGACGAAACAGCTCGGTCCACGAGTCGCTATTGAAAAACTGTGTCCACGACCTTCGTGTTGTTCCCCTTTACTTTATTTCTCTTGGCCCCGAGAGACATTCACGACCAACAGAACCGTGAAATAACGTCGTGTCGACTGATAAGCCCCCAGAGGATCTATACAATTTTCCGATGAATCGATGGTTACGAGCAAACAAACGGTTTCTTCGCGTTGTTTCCACTCGAGGTTACGTATGTAGTTCCGCGAATCACGGCATGTTTCTGTAAACTACTGATATGATCGACGATCGAACGTCTATTTGCGCACCGATTACCGATAATTTCTAACTGGACGTTGTCGTAGCTTGGAGTTCTTGGGAAACAAGCGAAGATAATCGGCGACAACGGATCATCGTGGACAAGATTCCGTGTGTAATTTTAAGTAGAGAAAAAGTTGTGTATCGATTCGGTAGAGAGAATGAAATACTCGACAAGGTCGCCGAGAGTCGACCGCATTGCCGTAGTTAGATGTTCGCTGCGCAAGCTGAATACCTACGTACATATTTCCTTAGATAAGCGTGTTCATGACTGCGTAACGATAACGATTCGGTTTCTTTCACGACGATCTCGTGTCGAGTTGCACATCCTGGCACGTCGCACAGGAGGTTGGCACTTGCAATTTACACATGCTCCTGTTCACAATCGTGTAAGCTTTCATATGAAAGAAAACCCCGATGTCTATTACTTTTAAACAGTTTTTTCATGATTCAAATTTGTATAAACTTTGACTTGATATTATATGACAGTGTAATACAAAATGCATACAGTAAATCATCTGAATACCATGTATACATGAATCACGTGAAAGGAGAAATATCTGTGGATTTCGAAGCCTCGGAGGGTTATCAATTCATAGAAAAATACCGGTCTTTCAAAGTATTAAACTTGAAAAATTGACAAAGTTTCCAAACCACTATGCGTCACTTGCGAACACGATCGATGTATAATCGTCGAGCGAATATTACAATCGCGTTAATAGTTAGCCGAGCAAAAGTCTCGAATTGGCCAGATCGTGGTTATCGACAACCACACGATAAAAGACTGATAATTTCGAAGATATTCGAGTGAATTCGATGTGTTAATCGCGAGCCTTAGATGTCAATGGCCCCAGAGCCGAAAGCACGTTGCGAAATCCGTGAAGACACGATTTACCAGAACGATGTGCGTGGACCTGAAAATATACAGCGAGATTTTCGGGCCGAGCTAATTCTGTGCTCCTCCGAAATTCGGTGAAACCACGAGAGAGAGACGTCATAAGATACTTCCTCCGATTTCACGATGATCAACGTTTTGTCGTAAGAATCCATTTTGGATTCAATTGATAGTGACGGATAAAGATATAACCTGAAAACATTCGATTGCTTTTTGTTAGGTACAGTTGCACTGGAAATTAACCCTAATACGTATGAATCAGATTCACCTATCGTGGGTGAAAAAGTTCCACAGTAGCTTACAAATACAGACTGCTCTTGATTATCGTCAGGCTTGTTCTACACGATTATTGTCCAGGGGGGTTATCAACACCACGGTCCCAACACTTTGTTGCCCCTGCGCTTTTGTGGCTTCGGGCAAAAAAAAACGAATTTATGAGGGTCTGAAGCATTTCCCCCTATAAGATTATTGTCCTGGGGCGGACCAGAGTTCGGGACGATAATCGAGTGGAGTCTGTAGATACGAATTCGCAAGGAAAAAGTACACAAAGCCGCGTACGATTATTTCATTACACAAGACAGAAGTCTAAGAATAAATATTCAAGTGGGTATTAAAATACCCACGTTACGTATCCTATGGTTAAGGGAACACTGTATCGATCGATGTCTCGTTAAAAATGTGGGACAGTAATCGAAGTCTAGAGCCGAATTTATACCAGGATCAGTATAAATACTTGCTCCATGTCCCCCTCTTACTCTCTATGCGCAAGACACAGCCGCGTATTATTACGTTTACGTTGGATACGTGCCTAAAGGCGCTACTTCATATCTCGACTTCGACGCTGGTGAATTTCAGTCGCAATTTCGCCCACCTCCCCCCTATGATAACCACCGCGCAGTCCTTTCCGGAAGGTATACACGTTCCGAGTGCACACCGTGTCTGTGCCGCTTTTGCGGTGCGAAACCGCACCGCGTGCCGTTTGACGGTAACCCAGTTCTCTTGGTAACGATAGGTCCAAACGTGTTTGGACCTCATTCGATCGAAAGAGAAGTTTGGACAGTCTATATAGAGAGCGTTTGGTCGTGATTAAGGAAGCCAAACATCTTTCGAACCGTCCAAACACTTTTTAAAGAGTTCAAAGACTTCAAACCCGTTGTCGACCGGGCGTTTGAACTGCTTCGAACGTTTGAAAAATGTCTGGTCACCTCGCCGCGAGTAAACTCTGTTTGGACAGTCCAGACGTGTCGTCACGATCAAACTCGGTTTGGGCAGTTCAAACGTTTCGTCACAATTTCTATTTGCATAGCCCCAAATATCTCGTCAGGTGTCCAAACATGTATCAAATAGTTTGATCACCCGTGCAGTGGTTCTTAGGACCGTGTCTCCGCTCGGTCGGTCTCGTCAGAGGATCGAGGACTCTCACCTTGACCCACGTGGGGTATGCGCGTCATAATTTTCTTCTTGTATGTTTGTTTTTTTATTTTCGAAATAACGAGAGATTTCCGCACGACTCGAGCCCGATCCCGACTGTGTTCCCTTCGCATTGACCCAATTCCGCGGGCGTGTACGCGAGGCCTGGATACGGATATTATTATCTCAGCGACGCCATTATTCTCCGGTTGAACCCATACGATATTCTGCGTTTCACGAGGCTTGCTTCGAGGGATCACGATTTGTTTTTCGATAACGGCCAGGAGAAACATTAACAGGTGAATTATTAAAGACCCTAACTGATAATACGCGATGCTTGCGTCTGAAAAGAAATGAATAATCGGTGAAGGCGATTTGCTCATGCGGTGCCTACGGGATAAATCATCAATTTAGAGATGGCGTGAACTGTTACTTGTAAATCACGAGTGATTCTCTGTCACGGTGATTTTTCACAGTGATTCGTGATTTTATCGTGATCGTTTCTGATTGGTGTGGAGAACATAACAGTTCTTTGCACGCTTCATATAACCTGTGTACATTTTATATTAACGACATTAAAAAAAAATGCAAGTTACATGGTATAAGGTAAAGGAATAATGAGGAAAAATGAAGGATAATGAATAAATTTACGATATATGTTGTATCATTATGGCAAGTCATTCTTTTATAATCTCTTTTTCTTTCTACTGATTTTAAAAAACGCACATATTAATGTAATTCATTTGACTAATATATACAGAGTGATCCAGAAGTCACGTAACCCATATAGTGAATTATTTAAAATGAATTCTCGTCCAGCAGTTTAGTGTTATCATTTAGGCCTGAGTATTTTGTTGGATCGGAGTTGTTGGCCTAGCTGCAGTTATAAATCTGGGTTACCATCGGGAGATTTCGTAGCCCACGGATGCAGTGTCGTGTCTCGGTCCCAGAATCAGGTCGAACGCGTCCGGAATCCGTTGTAGAACCGATTCGACCACCGCAGTGTATGTACAGCGGTGTCTGGCTGCCGGATCTTGAAGCTTCTCCGCTGTAAACGGTGTTCACGTTGGTTGATTCAACGAAAAACGTTGTCACAGTGCTCAAACTAGAAATGGTAATTCACGCTCGTTCCCATTCCTTTCAATTTTATATCGAATCGATCAAAAAAAGTGAACACCGTGTAAACTCGCCTTAACCCAGTCATCGTTGTATACAGTTTTTGCTCTCCAAGCTCACTTTTCGTGGATCAAAATCACCCGTTTGCAAGTAAAATTCACCCTTTGGTAAATCAAGTATTTCTATAGAGTTAGTTTTAAAATTGTTTTACTTCAGCTTTCGGAATAATGAATAAAATCAAACGTAAATTTATCGTAAAGAAATTCAAAATTTTATTGTTCGTAACACAAAGGTGTACATAAAACATTCATGTAATAGTAATGCACAAATTTATTTTGTATGGGATTTATATTTGAAAACTGTAGATATTTAATAAATGAGAGTTCTACTATGAATTCCTATCTAAGCGTTGCTTACACAAATAACAGTAGATATCACCTACTCAAATTATCACAAGGGCAATTAGATCGTTGATTGTTGGACGGATAATTTATGATAAGTTGTGATTCGTAATTTCCCGTTTTGTAGGCATCTTTCTAAAATGTTCCTCCATTACTCTTTTATGTCAAATATTGCAGAAGGTTGGATATGATTTCGAAAAAGTTGAATTTGGAGTGGAAAAACCGTATTACAGACGCTCCAATGAACAAGACAGTACCTATGGTCGAGCTAGAGTGGTCCCGTGATTGATCTGGAGTTGAACTATCGATTTTGGCGGTCCAAACAGCTCGAGATCCAGGGATCTCTGTTGTTCAGAGGCGATTCTTGGCTTCCTGTAACACGGTTCCCTTTGGCGAGCAGAGCGGGTCGGGGACCTCTCCGGGTTCTACCCCTCCTCTTCCGTAGGACGCGCGTGAACTTGCACCAGTTGCGTGTGGAGAACGGTCGGTGTGCGGTGGCGCCGCTCAGTTACGTCTGGATCGTCCCCGAGGCAACTCCACCGTGTCTGGAGACGATCCGCGCCCTCTCTACCCGTTTCACCATCGATCATGTCGCCGAGGATCTTGTTCTCTGTGTGATATTAATGCCTTTTGTTGCAACGTTATTTTACTGTGTGTATCGTGAATCGAGTGGTGACGTTATCGTCAAACAGACCGGATAAGAGAATGCATCGCAACGGGGAATACGATGAGTTTGTATATTGCCACGTGAAACACTTCTCTTTCACACGTACTTTCACGCACAGAGAAATTCGATTTCCCACCACGTTGCGTACGCCGTCGCCACCACCACGATCCAGCTCTTGCGTACGCGTTGGTGGCTACGACGTGAGAACTTAGTACAGAGGGGGCTCTCGATATATTGCCACATCTGCGAATTTGACTCTTCTACAGCTGCGGCAATATGTCAAGAGTCCACTGTGATTTAAATTAACGGCCTGGTTGGAGTTTAGTGTCGAGGAATATTGTCTTGATTCGCGGGGAGTACTTGATACAGGCGGGGAACGGTGATCTAGAGGAAGAGGGACCGGAATGCGTTTGATTGCTGGGTGTATCTATATACCCAGTCGGATGTGCAGTAGATTCTCGTATCTCCAGGCAGAAATTGACACAGATATACGTTGCATCTGATTACTATACACACTAGTGATTTATAGTATTATCGAACCATGTTAAAAATTACGCGCGGAGGAAATTTATTGTCCCAGTGAAGATAGTGGATGTCCATGAATATTCTAGTGATGTTTGTTCATTGAAATACATTACAAATATTAGAATATATTTGAATACGTGAAGCTAATGGTACCATATCGATCCATCCTAGATGAAATATTTTTGAGTGATAGTGTACCTGATTAACATTAATCGCCTGCTAGTCTGTCGAATATATACGTTACTGGAGCATTGTTATAACAAAACTGAACAGAGATTATCCGTCGTGCAGCGACGTGTGTATGCGTGTATGTTAATTGAGCTTGTAGATCGTGGTCGCGCGTGGTGGTATTACGTAAACGTGTGATCTTGTTGTTGCCGGGATTATCCTATCGGATACGTCGTGATTACGAACCAGGGAACTCCTTAAAGGTACGTTTTCACGTGACAGTAAGTCGTGACTTTTACGGTCGTGACACTAAATGTTATGAGTTATGGTGTTGGTTTACATTGCCGTACAGTGTCACGTGTCTAGGGATAAATCGATACCGTCAATCTCGAATTGTATCGATACCTGCTTGTATCGAAGGAAAATGAATATACAGACATTTATTAACAAAGTAATATAACCTGTACTTGGACGCCAACCACCTGTTCACATTCATTAGCTTTCATATCGATTCCTCGCTCCATTCGATACGAGTACTTTGTTTCGATACCGAGTACATATCGTAACAAATTATCGATAATAAAAATAGTAGATATCGAAACGGAAAAATCGATTTACTTGTATTTACTTGGATCGGTTCTTCCCTAATCCACAACAACGAAAGTCATGACTTTCACTGTCACGTGAAAACGTACCTTAACCGCATTAGACCCGCCGTCGGGATGCCTTTTAAGTTTCTCCCACCCAATTCGACGTGTCTCGACAAACCTTGGTTGCGTACTCGGGTCGAATGATCCGCTGCCGCTTTTGTTCCTTTCCTAACCTCTAAAGGACACCTGTTGCTTCTTCTTTTCGCTCGTTTCGCGCCTCCTGGCCGAATTGGATTTCATCGAGTTGTGTACGATATTTAGACAGAATTTCAGAAGTTTGTTATGTATATCGAACCAATAGAAATCGATATAGGTTATCGTTGATAGTTCTAGCGTCAAAATATTCACTTATTTTATGTCTGATTATATTATTATTTATCTCGTTTATAAATTCTTTAGTGGTTAAATGAGAAGATGAACCTATTGCACTCTGAAAAATGTGAGAAGAACCGCGTCCAAACAAAATGGCGGGTCACGAATGTGTTAAATATCGTTAACGTGTAAATTATTCAGTTATTTAGCTCAGCGTACTAATTGACATTGATGTATAACCACTTCGTTTTGAAAGTGGTGTAAAGTTCAATTTCGAGAAAATGATAATGTGCCAGTCATGTGAGTAATATTGCAAAACGTACACGAACAAGAAAAAGTAGAATTATATCAGTTTGAAAATAAACGGCCCGTATGTACAGTCTCGTCCATAAGTATCAGATTTTAGATGAGATGAGAACATTAGATGATGAACTATTTGACATTAATATTTTATACTATGAATAATTGTGTAATGTTTTTCCAAATTTAGTGATACTTAAACAGAGTGCATCCATGAACTTAAGGGATATGTTCTGCATCGTACAGCCTTGACACTCACCCGCGAGTCCGTTTATCGAAGCCCTAGTCGGTTAAGATATTTATAAATAGTTGATGTAAGGAACAGCTAACCACGTGAGCGGAACAATTGTTATTATGAGTCTCACTGCTGTAATCCACGAGGACAGGGAATTGCTTCCTCCTTGCAATTTCTCGTTCGAAGAAGGAATTTAATTCCCTTGGAGTGCTTTTCCTCCATCTTGGTTGGCTTACGCAACCGTTCCTTTTAATTATCGCTGAATACAGATAGGTTGTTTGTTACGAGACACCAGCAGCCACACTAATTAAACAAAATTAATGTGAATCGTGCGTTTGTTGTCTTATCTGACACTGAGCAAGAAACGAACGTTTTATGAAATTCAGATATTTTTGTGCAAAATATTCGTACAAAACGATTGCAAAATAAATACCTAATCTCTGAATTTGTAAGTGGTGAATCTCAGGCTTTCGAGGCAACATCGTAGTCTCGAGTCGTGTCAGTTCGATCAATGGATTCGTATCGGCGTGTTAATTGGGAACGCCGGCGCGAGTCGAGCCTAACGAACCATCATCGATAAATAACCAGGCACGTGTGTATCCACGATCGGAACGAGCTGTCTCGAGCTCGTAACTGTCGCCGATTATGTAACAACCCCTATTGCAAAATGAACGTCGTATGCAGGAAGCTATGCGTCTGAACCGGTTGGCCATCTCTGCCGCCAAGGCACGCGCTGGTAAATACGTAAAAATACCTGCTCTTGACAATGAGCAAGACCACTCTGCGGGGGAAATGAAAGCTAGTCGACAGGGGCGGGGGGAGTGAGAAAACGGAGACACGTACAGGGTCCACGAAAGGCCTCGAGATAAAAGTTCTTTGGAAGCAGAATCGATGAAAGGGAAGATGGACGACTGGATTGATGTGGAGAACAGAGAGAAAGAATAATGTGGGTGTGCAGACACCTCTCGATTATAAACTGGCTTGTTCTACACGATTATTGTCCAGGTGTTATCCCCACCACTGGGAGGGAGAGGGGGGCGTGAAACCTGTCAAGCGCATATTTTATTGCTCCTCCGCTTTTACGAGGGACTGACGCATTTCTCCCTGTAAGATTATTAAACAGAAGTTCGAAACTTCTGGGTGAAAATTGATCCAGACGCTGTCGTTAGAAGGTTAAAAACTTCTTTCGTTATGAAACACTTGACACATGTATACATATATTCCATTCCGAATGGGGATAGTACATCTGGTTGCGCCCTAAGCATTGTACAAATTTCAGGCATTCACAAAAGCGACCTAAGTTTTTTTACAAATAAATAAAAAAATTTCAATCCAATAAAAGGTAGAACTTCAAGATTAAATTTTAATCTCCCGATAAGAAAGAAACTCAGCACACACTTTGTGGATTCTTCTTGTTAGCGGCGGTGGAAACCGGTCGTGTCGCCAGTGACGGCAGAAAGTGGGCGAAAAACGTCGAGTGTTTCGGGACAGACGCGCCGCGATGCGTCGGTGAGGGGTGGGCGGGGGGTGGAGTTGGAGGCATCGGGGGGGTGGAGTTGGGGGCATCGGGGGGGTGGAGCGTCCTCTTTTTCGCGTAAGCTCGCGATTCAGTCCGCTGGTGAGTGTCGCGCGCGTGTAACACGGCTCGCGCTCCGCACTGCCCTCTCCCCTCCCACCGCGCGATTGGACACGTGCGTCGCGCGCATACCGTACCGCCTTATTTCAGGCCATTCGGTCGACCTTCCCCTTCGTCCCCCCATATTCCGCACGCACGCGACCGCTGTCACGGCATGCCTACTTCCGGGAGCACGTGACACCACGCCGCCGTGTCCCGCTGGAAGAATTCCACCGCGCGCCACTGTGTTCTCTTTGGCCTTTGCCATTCCCCTGGGACCCCAGCCGCCTCTTCTCTCGTCCCTGTGACACCAGGATCGCACGGATCCCGCGATGGTATGTCCGTCTCGTGCGTTTTTCGAGAGCTCGTCGTGCCTCCCGTTCCACGATAAGAAGAGGGCCGCCATTTACTGGCTCGACCCACGTATGTGCATGTCTCTCCGCGTTTCATGGTCGTATCAAGTGACCTCGGAGGTTATCACTGTAAAAGTACATTGTCGGGGAACAATATTCCGCCCGAATATTTCGCGCACACGTATCGTTCGACCTCGACAGATAGTGTTGGCGATACATTTGAATTGTATCGATACGTATTCAGACCCAGAGTATCGATACTTGCAATTACAGAAGGAGTAGTGAACATAAATCATTTATGTAAGCGGGTATTCTTAGGTAATAGTGTGGAAAAAAAATCGACCAACCATATAGGAAGCTCGCGATTGGGCCACTTTTCTTTAGGACCTGTTATGTTACAGCAAGTGCAGCGATTGTATCAAAATGTCGATATTTATGGGTTAAGTATATAAGCATAATAGGTAGAATTGAAAAGTATCGATACTCAGAATATCTATACTGTATGGACCATCACTACTTAACGGACAAGGTTGTAAAGCCGTTGCACGCTCTGACTTCATCGACGAGTTCGCTCGAGGAAGATTTTATTTTTGCGTAACGGGTTATCGGCTTCGTGAAGCTGGCATCGTACTCCCGGTAACCATTCTCGTATTATTTTCTGCGCTCTCGACTGGCGACCGCGAAAATGTTCCCTGTAACGGGGAGAGAGAATCACGTGAGCGGGGCACGTGGTATTCGATACGTGCTCGAAGGAAGAGTAACTTCGTTTAGCTGTGAGGCAGTGATTAATTCCTGATGAATTCGATTGATCGTTCCTGATTGACTCTCGGTCAGAGATGCCTGGAGAAATTATAATGTTAAGTTCAGGGGCTTCGATTAAATCGCTCTGCGCCTTCGAACTTTGAACTGCGCGACCCCTCCTCGGTAATTGCACGCTCGTATCAATTCTGCGCTGGCCACGTCAACGCGCTGATTTCATTGCTCGTTGAAATTCTCTGCCAGCGATCTCTGTCGCATAGTATGTATTGCGCAATATATCTGCACGTAGATGCAACCTTTTATTTTTTGTATCATGCGGCTGATAAACCGGTATCGCAGATAACCCTGCGGTTCATAGGCGTAAATTAAAATCGCCTCGACACGACGACGGGACTGTATATCACACACCGTGCTAATGCACAGCACAACCGTTATTGCGACAACTTATGATCCCTCCAATTATGAACTTGCCTGGAGTAGGGACGTTCAATTTACTTCAAGAAATCGATTCTCGAATCAATTGTCGAATCTTAAAAAATTGAAACCAAATAATCGATCGAAAAATCGTGAAAAATCATTAATCGATCATATCCTTATTAAATAGGGAAGGCATTTAGAAATATCAATTCTCGATTCTCAGAAAAATCGAACAGCAGAAAATCGAATCAAATGATCGATTTTTCGAATTGGAATCTGGAACAGTATAAAAATAATTTTATTTTGTTTCAATTTAAATTTTCAATTTATTTCCCTCGCAACTGTGCCATTTTCCAACACACCAACCATTCGTTTTCTGCTTCCAGGGTTCCGGATATCTAAAGCGTGCGAATACTGACCGCCTCCATGAAATATTTAATCAGGTAAACAGTCCTATATATAACTATAACATCGACAAGATCGTAATTATGTGCGCTCGTTATTTGCTTTGGTATAATCGAATTTCCCGGGTAATTGCAGTACGCGTCGCAAGAGAAGAATGGCGAGAGGTTCATGACCCCGTCCGACTTCGTGCGAATCTATCTTGGCCTCTACATCGATGCAGACTATAATCCTGACTCCGTTAACCTGCTCGCCGGTATCGTTGACACCAGCAAAGATGGGTTAGTAGTAATCCTAATCTTTAACCGCTTGAAAAATGATTCTTAACCTTGCGTCCATTGTAAACTTGCAGGCTCATATCGTTCGCCGAGTTCCAGGCATTCGAGGGGCTGCTCTGCGTTCCGGACGCCCTGTACAAGACAGCCTTCCAGCTGTTCGACACTAATGGAAACGGAATGGTTGCATTTGGTGAGTTTACATCGACGGAAAGATGGTGAAACAATCGGAGATGGAGACACCAGTCTGATTCCGTATTTGAGTTTACAGAGGAGTTCGCTGAGGTGATGCGGAAGACGGAGCTTCATCAGAGGATGCCCTTCAACATGGACAGTAGTTTCATTAAACTATATTTCGGGAAGGATAAGCAGAGGCTGATCAGCTACGCCGAGTTCAGTCAGTTCTTACACGTAAGTGCCTTCAGACACTCTTTGCATTCTTCTTTGATCAACGTTCGACGTTGTTGTATTGCTCAGGATTTCCACGAAGAATACGCGACGGAGGCTTTTAAGAAGTTCGATAAAGAAGGACAGGGTTTCATCTCCGCCTTAGACTTCCAGGATATCATGCTAAGCATCAAGAGCCATCTATTGACCCCGAACGTTAAGGACAACCTGGTCGCTGTAAGTGTCGTCCGTTTGAAATAAAACCCAGATAGCACACGACACCTTAAAGACGCCTATTTCACGGCTATTTTAGGTTTAAGGCGTTATTAGGCATCATGTACTATCTGGGGGATCATTATTAAGGAGAATGGCGCATTGAATAACGTTGTTACAGGCGGCAAGTATCGGTCAGTCCGGGAGGAAAGTCAGCTTTCCGTATTTCATGGCGTTCAATTCCCTTCTGAATAATATGGAACTGATAAAACGTATTTACCTGAACGCGACGAATGGTCACAGATACGACGAAGTCACCAAAGGTATATATTTGAAGAGTTCTAGGGAAAGTTAAATGAAAGTTCGAAGGGGTAATAACCAGTGTGTGTGTGTGTGTGTAATGCTGCTTTCAGAGAGGTTCCTTCATTCCGCACAAATGATGTCGCAGATCACGCCGCTAGAGGTGGACATTCTCTTTCAACTTTGCGACCTTCTGCATCAGACTGGGTGAGTATCGCCGATTCCGAGACCGAGTTCGTTCTCTTCAGCGTCGATCGATCAGAGGGAAAAGGGTCGCGTGGAACGGGGCCGAGAAAACCCCTGCCCGGACAAGCGGAAAAAGAAATTCATAAAAAGCAATTGTGTGTGTCCACGCTGGCCTGGTCAACGAGAAGCAAACATACGAACAAATGATATGTATATAAAGTCAGAGTAAATAATGCTATCGTTGCACCAGCAAGCACGTCGTCATCATCCATTACACGAGCGACAAAATCAATTCTAATCGTCTAAATCGCCCGCCGAAAACAAAAAAGCTTTCCATATTACTATTTCCGATCTTCAGTGAGCGACACTCGAGGTTCCCATCATTGAATGTATTTGTTTACGTGTTTACGCTGCCTGGATATGATCAGATCTACGGAAGATGACGAGGCAGATTCGCGGCTTGGGTGCGTCTTTGTATTACCAGAATAATCCTCACGTGCTATAACTCTTGTTCTAACCGCATATATATTGTTGGCCTCGCGCGAAAGCAACGGGAATATCGTGGGTCTCCGTAGCGCACGGAGCACAACGAATTTAGAAAATTGTCTATAAAACCCTCGCATCAGCAGTGTGTATCCATATAATAGGAAACACCTGTAAACGATTCTGTTCTAAATTCCGATGGTTTGCCGTCGATCCTTAGAGACTCAACGATTCCCATTCCTTTTGCAAATTCAATGTATTTGTATGTACATATATGTATATATATATATATATCGATAACACCATTTTTGTCTTCACCTACTTTCTTCAGTATACAATCGATCGTAGGACGATGGTATTTTGCAAACATTTGCACACCGTGGGCACTAACGATTCACCCCGTTTCATTTTCTCCCTATCACTCACTCACTCACCCCCATGTTCAACGGCTATGACAGACTTTAAGGACACGTTTTTAAGGATCTTTGTTCGCCAGGATGTATTTTTAGTATCGCTCGACGCAGTGCCATCGACGTGTTCCACTAAACGAACATCCCTAGACACTCAACCTCTCCCCGTTCTTATAGGATACAAAGAGACAATGAAAAAAAAAAGAAACATATATATATATATTAATTTTTTCATATAATACATATATATTCATATTTTCTCTCTCGAATTTCGCGTCAACGCTTTCATGCCCACACGGACGCGTCACGATCCACCTATATTCAGCAGGCATTTTCTCGGGTTTCAGGAAAATTGTATACAATGATCTCGTGGCTATGACACCTGAGCAGTATTTCAAGCAAATTACAAAACGCCTAGCCGAGATCAAGGCGGTATCGGTAATGAGAGAAGACCTACGGTTCACGCCGGTCGGATCCCAGAGTTTAGACCCTCCCCAATAGGGGAAACAATGTTACCAATTCGGTGTTTATATCCGTTCCTCGATAAAGTCATTGTTATATCTATTTCAGAGTCCGGACGAGCGAGGTGTGATCGTGCAAATACTCGAGAGCGGATATCGGTTCGTGCTCGGCTCTATCGGAGGAGGTACGTCCCCTTGGGATCTTGATTCGACCATTTACCCTTTGCAGCCGTGAAAACAGTTCTAGGATCGCAGATTCATTGCACGGCAGGGATTCGCGCGATTGGGTGACACGATGTAGACAGGGCGAAATTGTTGAAGAAGAAACGTTGCTTCCTTCTCGTTTTGTTTCATTGATGCCTCTAGCCTAGGGTTTCTCATTCAGAATTAGGGTGTTATTAGAACTGCAAACAGGATTAACAAGTAGAAAGAAACGTATTCTTCGCTATTTCACCTGTAACCGAACGAAAAGGTCATGACTTCCCCCAATTTCGCGAGTCACCCTGCACGGTTAGGCCCACTCTTTGTACCCATAAATAGAGCAACTCCTCGCGGAGAGGGAGGGCTCGATTAAGGTAGAGGTATATACGATATAAGAACTAGACAAGAGGAATATTCTGTTCAGCGGTGGGCGCGACAGCTGTCTATCCGATCGACCTGGTGAAGACGCGGATGCAGAACCAGAGGACCGGATCCCTGGTCGGCGAGCTGATGTACCGAAACAGCTTCGATTGCTTGAAAAAGGTTGGAATCGAAAAGTCTCGCCACGACACACCGTCTGCATTGTTAATCATGAAGCTGTGGTATTGCGTTTGACAGGTAATCCGGCACGAGGGTTTCTTCGGTCTTTACAGAGGTCTGCTGCCGCAGCTGATGGGTGTCGCGCCGGAGAAAGCGATCAAGCTGACCGTGAACGACTTCGTTAGAGATAAGTTCATGGATAAGAATGGAAATTTGCCTCTATTCGGGGAAATTATATCCGGTGCCTGTGTAAGTGATCGACGAGACAATTTATTCCCATGATCCCTGGACCACCTTTATCCTCTCTAACCTCTATACAAAAAGTCAGACAGTTTCTGACAAGCATCGTTTGTTATATTTCAGGCTGGAGGGTCTCAGGTGATATTCACGAATCCCTTGGAGATCGTTAAGATCCGGTTGCAGGTGGCCGGTGAAATAGCCGGGGCCCAAAAAGTCAGAGCTTGGTCCGTTGTTAGAGAACTTGGCCTTTTTGGGTTGTACAAGGTAAGCTTGTCAAAGACAAATCATCGATTTTGATGAGCATATTATATTTCTCTATGCGAAAAGTATACCAAAGCTAGATATAAGAACACAACCGTCTAATTGTAACGGACTGAAGGCTTAAAATTCAATAAAATGATATCTCTCGTTTTACAGGGTTCCAGGGCTTGTTTCCTCCGAGACATTCCCTTTAGCGCCATCTATTTCCCCATGTACGCTCACACGAAGTCCCGATTGGCGGACGAGGGAGGATACAATACACCACTTTCGCTTCTCGTTGCTGGTGCACTCGCTGGTGTGCCTGCAGCAGCGATGGTCACTCCTGCGGACGTGATAAAAACCAGATTGCAAGTACGTTGCCTCCCCATTTGACTACTTGCCCATTCTATTCGAATAATAGCAAAAGATTCTACCTATGCGCCTAATTTATACTCACGTATTTTTTTTTATTCTCACAGGTGGTAGCCAGAGAGGGCCAAACGACGTACAACGGGCTGCTGGACTGCGCGAAGAAAATTTACAGAGAGGAAGGAGCCAGGGCGTTCTGGAAGGGAGCTTCAGGTATGAGATTCTATTATATTCGGTGACCGAGAATACGTTCTCTTGAGTATCTTCGCGGTAGATATGATATTAGAAATGCAGGACAATATATTTTAAGTTGTATACAAAGAGAGTTAGTAATATATTTTGATTTGGTCGATTGCATGCGCGGGGATTGGCTCCCTGCCGCATCTTTCGACTATTCTTCCCCTCCAATATGACCTGACAACTTGCTTCTAAGTGAGTACATTCTTTTTCTCTCTGCCTGCCAGTGTCTCTCTCGTGGTTTTGTATGTTTTTTCTATTTTCAGTTTCCCACGTCGACATCTATGTTTTCTCTCGTTTTTCTCGTTCTCTCACCCCTTCTCTCATTATCCTCCTAATTTTCAACCCCCGACGAGATTTTTTTCACGCCAACAGTGTTCCGTTTTCCTCATGTGATTTGCTCTCAGTCATCGTGTTTGGAAGTTCTCAGTGCCCCGAATTGTTCAGTGAACTCCATTAACATCTCATCGAACAAAGTTTTATTTCTTAAATGGTATCATCGCGTAAATCTTTATTCGGACAAAGAACACGAATATGTGTGTGGATATCGGCCGATTATCGAAAGGGTTCTAAATTCCATCCTTTTTTTCTCGTTTTGCAGCACGAGTCTTTAGATCGTCGCCCCAGTTCGGTGTCACACTTTTCACCTACGAACTCTTACAGAGGCTCTTCGTGGTCGACTTTGGAGGATCGTAAGTACTTCACGTTTCCGCGAAATAAAGTTGAACACGCATAATAACGGAATATGTGTCGTTTATAGACGACCTGCCGGATCAGAGCTAAAGATACCAGCGACTGGAGTGGCGCAGGAGATACGATCAACGAATCCGGATCACATAGGCGGCTACCAGATAGCCCTGCCGATTTTCACGGGTATAGAAACGAAATTCGGTCTCTGCCTGCCCAGGTTCCAGGCGGGCAGTGTCGGTCAGCAACCGGAGAAATAAAGCTTGTAGCGAATATCACCGTTGTTAGGGTAAAAAAACCGAAAGAAGCACGAGGCTCCAATAGAATCACGACAAACCGAGTCAATCGTCATCCGTGTCCTCTTCGAGCCGTTGATCGACCTGACGAATCTAGGCTCGAATTCACCCTGGGAAGCACCAACGACATCGCGTATCCTATAGTCCTTCAATCAGAGAGTCTCGAATGAAAAAGAAACTCCGGCGAAAGTGGACGACAGGGGAGATCCAAGAGAGTTATTATAATCCAAAGGAATCTTGAGAACCATCGCGACATCCAGCCTGGATCAAGGAAACAAAGTAGTAACAAATTTAGCACTCCTTTCTGAGGACATTCAAGGGCGGAAATTCAACGCGCACAAGCTCTTCGTGGTTCGCCTTGGAGGGGCGACACCGGTACAGGAGTTTAGCCTAAAGACACTATCGAACTAACGTTTCTTAATTGCCCGTTCAACGCTTACCGATCACGCGCGTAGAACTCGAATCGATTGGCAACGCGAAGAAGCAGAACATTCTTGTCATACACACTGTCCACCCCGCGACATTGCGTTTCACCGTTTGCACCAGATCCCACTAATATTTCCCTCGGTAATTGCACCGTTTCAAGCCACACAATTCTTCGCTTCCGTGGTACTCTTTAACGGAAAGGAAACTATATAAACGGGCGCAAAAGGTGAGACGGACACTGATCCCTTCGAATTCAAATCGAAAGGATTAGAAACGTTGTTTATTTTGAAAACGAACATGCTTGTTTGTAAGGGTTCGACTATTTGTTATTTGTAGGTTATGTATACCGCCCCGGAGATAGCTTGCGTTCTCTCCAGCCTCTGAGTCGGTCTTAAGAAACAATGTTCTTTAGGATTTACGGCTCGTTTCCATAATTCTGTTTCCCTATTCTTCTAGTCGCGGTTGCCATTCGCGTTACGTCGAAAAGTTTCGCCAACGTTCCAAGAGAACCCACGATCTTTCAATATTCCGTTCAAGATATTCTTTTTTGCGTGACGCTTTTCGTCCACTTCTGCGTTCATCCACGAGAAAGTAGATCGAGATCTATTTGTAGATAAAAAATTATATATCAGCTCGAGACGTGTAACGAGGACTGGATCCTCCGTCCTTCGAGATGGAGCTGTTTTTATCTCGAACCGTGGGTACCAATATGAATTAATCCAGTCGATCGTCGGAAATGCTCGAAGAATGATCCAACGTAATTGTTCATCTCTGTGAACACTTTACGAACACCGAAGTTCTATGCAGTCCAGATCGAAATTCATGATTACAAAAGGGAATAGGATTGATTTCATCCGTAGAAATGATGTTTCCTGCATTACCCGACGATCGGAACGACCAATAATCTCGGTGGTTTTTTCGTCGAGAAAAAAAACTCATGTAAACGCTCCCTCCCGCAGTTCGATATTTACTATTTATACGAAATACGATAACGGAAATAACACCGCTACTCGACTTGCTGTGAGTTAAGGCACGTTTTCACATTTTACGGTAACAGTCGTAACATTTAGTGTCATGACCCTTAAAAGTCACGATTTACTGTAGGGTAAAAACGTATATTCAGGTCGCTTGTGACGAGCATTTCATGGATCACCACGAGTCAGAGGCAACTTTGTGTCATTCTGATCGATCGGTTATAATCTACGATTCACGGTACCGAATAAACACTTCGAGTCCGCGACAGAGAAACGAAAATTCCGGCGATTATTGTTATATCAGCGACTAAGTATTATCCCCGTGATATCTGACACGTCGCCAATATTCAAATACGAAATAGTCGATATATATTTTCGTAATAAGCGGGGCGACAAACGGAGAAACAGGAGATGAGGGCCGATTATATATTTGCGATTAGAAATGTGTATTTTCTCTGTGAACGACAGAAAGGGTTGATCGTGTACATAAATCAAGTGGGCGATACATTTGAATTGTACCGATATTTGGTATCGAAAATATGGATATTATCAGTATCGATACTTGCAATTAAATTAGAATGAATGAAAATCCAAACATTAAATTAAATCATTTATTTAAACAGATATTTACTGAGACAGATTCTCAGATAACAGGCATGGAAACGAAAACGATTGATCGCAAACTTTATGGGAAGCTCGCGATCGGTCCATTTACCTTACAACCTGTTACAGCGATTTTATTGAAATTTTGACATTTATGGATGAAGTATCGATACTGGAATACATCGTCACATTAAATATCGATATTTGAATTGAAAAGTGTGTATCGCCCGTCACTGGTTCAGGCCCAAGATAGGAATTCAATCATCCTGATCATCAAGTTCAGTGTACATACTTACGTTTGTATATCTAATATAATTAGCCTGGTGTACATATCTGTGTGCGATCGGCGAACGCAAATATTCGAAAAAAGACTGTTGTACTCGACATTCAGCTTCTCTGTTCGTTTTCAGGCTCTCGTAAGTGTTCATGGAGACCATCGTCTCCCTTGAATTTGTAAAATCGTGGATCGATCATTGGGATATTGTAGTCGGCAACAACGTGATCGTTCTTTGGAAGTGTGTTCCGTGGTTTGTCCCCAAACTCCACTCAGAAATTATAATATACAATCAGGAATCCTATATATACACTTTGGTTTTTATATCCTCATCCCCATCGTCACGGTTTTTAATCATTGCCATGGATATTTTTTGTCTATAGAGTCGCGATTATATCGAGAAGGTTACTGTGAAAAAGAAGGGAGGAATGTGTCATAGGGTGAAGGAATTCAGAAATTTCCACATTCCGGATACAAACAGTGTTTGTATATAGTGAATAGAAGACACATTTGTCAGTGGACAAGTCGTATAAGGTTACATCACGTAACTTACGTTCCAAACAACTCACAAAACCGGTTCAGATCGGTCTTCTATGAATCTACACGTTGATAGTTTTTATCGAGCCGGCCTAAAATATGGTAATCGATCTTTGGACATTTTTCTGTTTTACATTTGTCCAGAAGGCGTCAAGTGACATTCTGAGAATAACCTCTGTTGATACACGCTACTGTCAGTCCATGTTAATATATATATAGTATTCTTTTCTAACAGAGATCGAAATCAACAATCACTTGGATCTATCCGTAATCATAGTCGGTTTGTGCACGTTGATTATTAAATGATAAAATGGAACCGGCATTTCGATCTGTGTTCGCCAAGCTTACGATGTTTTGCCTGTTACCACGGACCACTCGTTGACGGGGGACCTAACCGAAGAGAAACGGCTATGCACAAAAAACGATACAGGCGAGAAACTGAGGGGTGTAAATCTATATTTTACGAGTATAACTGAACGAAAGGGAATCCTTGATAACGTGCGAGCGATCGTTAAATAATTGTATGTAAAGAAAATAAGCAATCACACGTTTGCTTCTGCGAATCGACCGTCTCATATCCAATTTGTACGCGTAGTGGTGAGAGTAAATCGTGTACTAGAGTGTAATTTAAACGGATGTCAAACGACTTAACGGTGTAAACGGAATATTATTATCGCTAGAGATCTTTCTCTATATCCGTTGACGCGAATTCAAATCAACGTTCTGCGATCTGTGATCACTCGTGTCAGATTCTTGACGGTAAAAACTGGGACAAGGCCGATTAGTTAGACAATTTCGAATTCAATTCTTACGAACTTATTCAGTCGTAATGTCTTTGATAATTTAGATTTACCTCATTGCGAATTGTAAAGATACACGTTACGTATACATACTTGTAAATCAAAAAAACAAAAAGAAAGAAAAAGAAAAAAGAAGAAGAAAGAAATACCTAATTGTGAATAACACCTAATCTATTGTGCATATATTTTAACATAAGAATAAATATTATTTAAGAGATACGTTTATTTCGGGCCCTATCAAGGAAGTTGAAGGAAGGCAATTTAGTCTTCGCAGCACTGTTGCATATCTTTATTTCGGTTACGTATTTGGAAGTGTTATTAACGTACATTCAATATTCCATGCATTGTTGCATAATTTTTTAGGATACACGCATCTTCAAAATAATGTTGTGGGATACTTTGTTGATTGTTTGTAGGAATTCTATATTTGATCTATGTGCGTAAAAGCCGAGGTTGATCGTGAAGGTCACTGGGTCCCGTCAAGCACACCTCGTTTCCTTCATAGTTGAACAGGTCTCACGGCGTTATATGGACAGCATTCGTCTCGACAAAGCACTCGACGTGTAGCTTAAAGAACGTAGAATAATCCCCTGTCACTGAAAATAACAATAAACGCCCAAAACACTGGTAAAAACCCATTTAATTGCGGAGTACCACTTTTTTTTGGACCGGTGGCGCCACCCGTGGCATATCGCTCAAACTGCTAGCCAAATCATACCGACAGGTGAGTGAAAATTCTTAATGTTAGAAAAATGCGAATATCTCAGTAATTAAGAATTCAAAATGCACGTCATTAGTCTCAAAATGTTCCTCAGGACTTAATGCATGGACGCAATAGTACAGGACCCCTGAATTAGTAAAATTAATTATGCCTGTAACGTAATACCGCAGCTACCTCATGGAGCGACAACCCTAACAGAATTCGATCGCATATACACCGCTGAACGGACATCATTTTTTCTCGTCACGCATTAGATTTAAAGTTTAAAGAACGTACATTAGTACCTTCTAGCGGCTGGGTACCAGTAATTACAAGAACATTGCTAAAATCTCAATTGTTTGCAACGGCTGACACTCCATCTCGCGATGCGTACCCCGTTTAGTTCACTTTAAATAGCTCTTCCAACGTTCTATGGATAAGTTACGTCTTGATCAAGCATTCATATTGAAGCTAAAAGAACGTAGATTAATCCACTGTCATTGATAATAAGAATAAACAATCAGAACACT